GAATACTATCGCTTGCGAAATACAAGGCGTAACCCCTAATGTTGCAGCCGGAAGCTTGCGGATGGCCACTAGAAGCAAAGAACTCCAGAGGGCGCTAATAAAAAAGGAACAAGACATCAGGACTTGGCCTGACCTGGACAACTTGGTGCGGCGGGCGATCATGTCAGAGGAGGCATTGGCCCCAGCAGATCGTGGAGGAAGAGGAAGGGAAGCGAAGAGAAACTATAGGTCACCACCCCGAAGGGGAAGAACCCCGGAGCGGCATAACTATAAGGCCAAAGCGAGGGGCGGGGAAAGCAAGAGGGAAGTCTACACAGTTGAGAGAGATAAGGATGATGCCCCCCGCCAACAGCCGCGGGAAGACAAAGTGCGACATGACAAGCAAAGGCGCCCAGAGGCCCCCGTGTTCAGAAGATGGTGCGATTGGCATCAGAAGACGTCACACAACACGGCGGAGTGTCGCGATTTTCTGCTGAGTATTGCAAATCTCGCACCAGGGGATCTCCGAAGCAGACTGGAGGCTAAAAAAGGGGAGCGGGCTAGGTCACCCACTCCTAAAAGATATCGTAGCAGATCCACGAGACGGCTCTGCTCCAAGTCGCTAAACAGGAGGTCGAGGTCACCCCGGAGGCTGAGGTCCAGGGATTGGAAAGAAAGAAGACTGCCGTCCCCGCCTAACGCGTCCCCACCAAGGAGGCAAACTCGCCTGGACGAAGATGATCTGGAGATAATAACAATCTCCGGGGGCAGGAAACGCCCGCGAATCACGGACGGAGGTGCCGAATGCCTGATGGTGGCTCCTACATCAACGGCAGAGGTAGTGTTTGGAGCGTCCGAACTCACCAACTTGGAGGCCGCCGAGGACCCACTAGTCATATTATTCCGCACTGGGAGGTACAAGGTCATGAGGACTTTAATTGACAACGGGAGCTCCGCTGACATCCTATTCTTCTCGACACTCAAAAGCATGAAGAAGGGTGTGGAAGACCTCAAGCCGTCCACCACTTAGCTGGTAGGGTTTTCGGGCTCGAAAATCAAAGTGTTGGGTGTCGTCACTCTGCGTGTAACCATTGGCGAGGGAAACGTCACCAAGACCAAGTCTATGGATTTCTACGTAGCGGACTGTCCGTCCGCATATAACGCCATCCTGGGTCATAGTTTCCTTTCGACCTTCGGAGCGGTAGCATCCACCTGCCATCAAAGGCTGAAATTCACCGTGGGAAACGGAGTGGGATGCGTCAAAGGAAACACCCAGCAGGCACGAGAATGTTACCAGGCGACCATCAGACAATTGGAGGTGGACTTGGTCGATATAAGAGGCGACAACCCAAGGCCGGAAGCGTTGGAGGAAGACGTGGCTGTTCCCCTGAGAGATGAAGAGCCCGAAAAGACGGTGCGGATATCAGAACAACCTTAACCCGAATTGGCTGCAGGGATGATCACCCTCTTGCGGGAGTTTTCCGATCTATTTGCATGGGGGCCAGAGGATATGCCGGGCGTGCCACGGGAGCTCGCCGAGCACCACCTGGCAGTAAAGCCGAACACGCGCCCGTTCAAACAAAAAAGGAGGAACATCTCCGTCGAGAAACAAATGGCCCTGGAAGAAGAGATACAGAAACTCCTCAAGGCTGGGTTTATCAGGGAAGTGCGATACCCCACCTGGCTGGCAAACCCAGTATTCGTCAAGAAAAGCTCAGGTTTGTGGCGCATGTGCGTAGACTTCACGAGCCTGAACAACGCCTGCCCGAAAGACTCATACCCGCTCCCAAGAATCGATCGCCTCATCGATGCAACCGCCAATCATTCCATGCTGAGCTTCCTGGATATGTTCTCCGGATACCACCAAATAAGCCTTGCGGAGGAAGATCAGGAGAAAACGGCGTTCATGACGGCAACGGGAAACTACTGCTGGGTGGTGATGCCCTTTGGCTTGAAGAATGCGGGGGCGACATACCAGAGAATGGTGGATACCGTGTTACGCACCCAAATAGGGCGCAACATTGAGGCGTACGTTGATGATGTGTTAGTAAAAAGCAAGGAGACGGGTACGCATCTGCAAGACCTGAGGGAGACGTTCACAAACATGCGAGAGCATGGCTTGCGCCTCAATCCAACGAAATGCGTGTTCGGAGCAGAAGCGGGCAAATTTTTGGGCTTCTTGATAACGAAGCGTGGTATTGAAGCTAATCCGAAGCAGATTGAGGCAATCTTGCAACTCAAAGCTCCAAGGACAATCAAAGAGATACAAGCCTTCAACGGGAAAATGGCCGCATTGAGTCGGTTCATACCTCGCTCAGCCGATAAGTGCTCCCCATTTTTCCAAATCCTGAAGAAATCGGCAACTCGATTCAATTGGAGTGAAGAGTGGAATGGAGCCTTCCTACGGCTCAAGGAGCGGTTGTCATCCCCCCCAGTGCTCAGCGCCCCCGTTAGCGGGGAGCGTCTTTTTCTGTACTTGGCAGTCTCTCAACAGGCGATTAGCTCGGTGCTAGTAAGAAGGGCGGAAGATGGCAAGGATCAGCCAGTGTATTATGTCAGCAAAGCATTACTCCCGGCAAAGACAAGATATTTGGTGGTCGAAAAGGCAGTCCTAGCCGTGGCCATGACGGCTCGAAAGCTACAGCCGTATTTCCAGGCTCATCCTATCACGGTTCTTTCCAACCTCCCCCTTAAGAGGATATTGCAAGGCATGGACGCCTCAGGAAGAATGACGAAGTGGGCAGTAGAACTCAGCGAGCATGATATCTCTTATGCTCCTAGGCCAGCTATTAAGGCTCAGGTCTTGGCAGATTTTATTGTCGAGGGATTCGCTCTCGATGAAGGAACACAAAGGGGGGATGCCGAGTGGAAGCTGTTCGTGGACGGGGCGGCAGGCAAAGGAGGAGCAGGTGCGGGAATAGTTATCGAAACGCCCGAGGGCGTTATTCATGAAATCGCCTTGCGTTTCGATGCCTTGAAAACTAACAATGTAGCTGAATACGAAGCGTTGGTGAACGGGCTGAAACTGGTCTCGGGTATGGGAGCCAAAAGGGTCAGAATCTACTCAGATTCGTCGTTAGTGGTGGGACAGATCAATGAGAACTTTTATATAAAGGAAGAGGAGTTAATGAGGCTAGCCAGGAAAGCACAGGAAGTACTCGCCCAGATGGAGGATTGGGCGTTGGAACACGTCAGGCGTGAGGGAAATTCGCACGCCGATGCATTGTCCAAACTGGCCACCGCCATGGACTTTGAAGGAGAAAGGCAAGTCACAATAATGAAGGAAGTAGTAGTCATAGCGGGTTCAACAATAGCAAGCCACCAAGATTGGAGAAGCCAGGTGTTTGGATTCCTGGAGAACAATGAGATACCGGAGGATGCTGCAGCGGCCAAGGCTTTGCGTCGGAAGGCCACACGGTACACGGTCGTGGGAGGAGAGTTATACAAACGTTCCTTCACGGGCGTCTATTTGAAGTGTCTAGGAACTGAGGAAGCGGAGGAAGCTCTTAAAATGATCCATATGGGAACTTGCGCCACCCATGTCGGTCCCAGAAGCCTCGAGAGAGCAGTCCTCTTGCAGGGATATTACTAGCCTACGGTGAAGAAAGACGCCCTAAAAATGGTCCGTGAATGTCACGCATGCCAAGCACATGCAGATAAGCATCACCAACCCGCGTCCGAGATGAAAGGGATTGTAAGTCCCTGGCCTTTCGCGAAATGGGGTTTGGACCTTCTAGGACCTTTCCCCAATGCGCCGCTGGGAAAAAAGTACTTGGTAGTAGCCGTTGACTACTTCACCAAGTGGATAGAGGCCGAGCCTCTAGAAGCCATTACCAGCGCTCGAGTGCAGAAGTTCATATTCAATAACATCCTGATACGCTTTGGCATTCCCGAAGCCATTGTGACTGATCACGAGACACAGTTTGACTGTCACCCGTTCGAGAAATTCTGCCAAGGGTACGGCATAAAGCTCAACTTTGCTTCAGTTGCATTCCCGCAAGCAAACGGGCAGGTGGAGTCATCCAACAAGTTGATATTGCGGGGGCTGAAGCGAAGACTAGGAGAAGCGAAGGGAGCATGGACAACCGAGCTCCCCACATACTTTGGGCGCACAGGACCACGCATAAAACTGCGACGGGGGAAACACCATTCGCCCTCACCTACGGATGCGAAGCGGTTGTTCCAACCGAAACTCAGCTCCCAACGCTCTGCATCCGAGCATATGACCCCGAGGAAAACCACGCCAACCTGCTACACCAGCTCAACATGACAGAGGAAAGGCGGGAAGCAGCTCTAACTCGCACGATCGCGGAGAAGGAAAGAGTGGCAAGGACGTTCAATAGCAAAGTACGTCCGCGACCATTAGAAGAGGGTGATATGGTGCTTAAGAGAATGTTCGAGAAGAAGGAAAAAGAGAGGCATGGGAAGTTAGCCGCCAATTGGAAAGGTCCGTACCTCATAAGTGATAAAATCGGGCCGAGCACTTATAAATTGGCAACCATGGGCGGAGAAGCCATAAGCAAGACGTGGAACGCGCTACACTTGCGCAAGTACTTTTCGGCAGATTAAATGTAACCTCGCTTCAATTATTCAATACAAGTCTTAGTGGTGCATCATAATCAATCTCAAAGCGTACATCTCATAAAACACATTCCAATACGAGTCATTCAAAATGCTACCACGAAGCGGAATGCTCAACCCGCAATCCGTCCTGAGGGGCAGGGACTCGCTCAAAACACGCCACCCCGAAGGCAGAGCGAGATCCTAAAACGCATCCCGGGACATGGGTCATTCAACACGCTACCACGAAGCGGAATACCCAACCCGAAATGCGCCCTGAGGGGCAGGGACTCGCTCATAACACGCCACCCGAAGGCAGAGTGAGATCCTAAAGCTGCATTCCGGGACATGGGTCATTCAAAACGCTACCACGAAGCGGAATGCCCAACCCGAAATACGCCTTGAGGGGCAGGGACTCGCTCATAACACGCCACCCCGAGGGCAGAGCGAGATCCTAAAAAATGCATTCCGGGACATGGGTCATTCAAAGCGCTACCACGAAGCGGAATGCCCAACCCGCAACCCCTCCTGAGGGGCAGGGACTCGCTCAAAACACGCCACCCCGAAGGCAAAGCGAGATCCTAAAACCGCATTCCGGGACACGGGTCATTCAAAACGCTACCACGAAGCGGAATGCTCAACCCGCAATCCGCCCTGAGGGGCAGGGACTCGCTCAAAACACGCCACCCCGAAGGCAGAGCGAGATCCTAAAACGCATCCCGGGACATGGGTCATTCAACATGCTACCACGAAGCGGAATGCCCAACCCGGAATACGCCTTGAGGGGCAGGGACTCGCTCATAACACGCCACCCCGAGGGCAGAGCAAGATCCTAAAGAAAAACGCATTCCGGGACATGGGTCATTCAAAACGCTACCACGAAGCGGAATGCCCAACCCGCAATCCGTCCTGAGGGGCAGGGACTCGCTCAAAACACGCCACCCCGAAGGCAGAGCGAGATCCTAAAACGCATCCCGGGACATGGGTCATTCAACACGCTACCACGAATCGGAATGCCCAACCTGCAATCCGTCCTGGGGGCAGGGACTCGCTCAAAACACGCCACCCCGAAGGCAGAGCGAGATCCTAAAACGCATCCCGGGACATGGGTCATTCAACACGCTACCACGAAGCGGAATGCCCAACCCGAAATTCATCCTGACGGGCAGGGACTCGCTCATAACATGTCACCCCGAAGGCAGAGCGAGATCCCGAAAATACATAACGGTACTATCCCCAATAGGATCATCAAAACACAAATGGGAGGGAGTAAACGAGCGCATTAACAAAAGGATCAAGGTTCAAAGGTAAGGGAGCCCGCATTGAAGCGGGCAATGTCAAGACTGCGGGGAAATAATATTACAAACCAAGTTCCAGTCGAGGACAGACTCGACAAAATAAAAGTAGTAAACATGACATCTCAAGACTTATCTCCACCCCGGGAGCTTGCTTCATCACCTCCCGCTTGCACGTTCAGATCTATCTCGGAGTTGACGTCATCCGTGGAGGAACCCCAAGCAACCACCGCATCCCACACGGCATCGGTATCCCACTCCAAATCAGTATGCTCGCGACGGAACAATTGCCGAATCGAAGCCACGATGTCACCAATAGCCTTGGAACGTTTAGCATCGTCAATTTTGCGAAAGGCAGGAGACAGCAGGTACGAGGAAACCGCCGACTGGGTGGCAGCATCGACCTCGGCCTTGTGTTTGATCACGCTCTCCAATTGGCCCCTCTCCAGTTCGCCCACACGCTCGCGCAGCCGAGTAACGTCCGCCTCCAATATCTCCTTGTCAGCCATAAGACTGTTGACCTTCTGAACTCCCCGTGAGAGATCAGCACGGAGATCCTTGAGGACGTCAACATGCTCCTTTTCCAGCTCCGCTTTAGCCTCCGCTCGGAACGCAGCCCGCCCCTTGAGAGATTCCGCCTCCAACTCCCCAATCCTCTTCCGCAGCTTCTCCGCTTCCGCCTCCACACGCAACGTGGCAGTGTGCAGCTTCTCGTTGGTCATCCCGATTTGGGACAAGCCAATTCCCGCCTAAGAAAACTTTCCACGTCACATTTCTTTTTCCATGAAAGAAGAAAATAGATGAGTAGAAGTACGTACCGCGAGAAGGAAACGGGCAGCGGTTTCCACCCAATGCTTGGCCGCGGGATCCTCAACCTCAGTATACTCAGGCGGTACAAGAAGCTTCCCGGATAACTCATGAAGCATTTGGCGGGCACAGTCCTCGCGCAGTGAAGAGTGGGGAGAAAAATCAACAGTCTCTGTCAGGGAGGTCGCCTTCGCCTTTTTCGACCTTCATCATGCTCATCTGCAGGGCTCTCAGCAATCCGCTTCCCGGTGTCGCGAACCTTGCATGCCGGTTCGGCGTTGGCTTGCACAGTTATCAACCCACCTTCACCAATGGAGAGCGTGGCCTGACTAATAGTGGTGGGAGGCTTGTTAGCAAGAGGCAGGGTCTTCAGCGGAGCAGCGGCAGAAACAGCGGAGCAGCCCCGCCTTGGAGGTCGGGCCATCATCGCCACGCTCCAAAAATTCATAACTGCAAAAAACAGTCAGAATCAGAAACGCAAAATACAAGCATCCAATCATAAGAAAGAAGCAAAATCAACGACGCTACTGACCATCCCCGAAGAGTTCGGTCAAAATGGATCTCACAGAATCTGGTCCCCCGGGCTTCACATTAAAGGGTGAGAAGTTGGCGAGGCGGGCAGCATACTCTTTTTGGAAATCTAAGGTCCAAAGTTTTGAGTCCCAATTTTCCTTCCGCCCGTAAGCGTAGCCCGTCCTGGGTTCTTTATCCCCGGAATACCATATCGATGTAGGCTTGGCATAGAAGAAATCCCTGAACCAAGCATTATCAAGCTTGGGCGACCCGGTCACAAACCCGTAATCCTTGTCCCGCCTCCCGAAGGACCAGACATTAGAAACCCGACGAAGGCCGTATATGAAGCGGAAGGCGGCAAATGAAGGTTCAACACCGACCCTCTTACACGCGAGTTTGAAAGCGCAAGCGTGAAAGATGATAGTGGGCGACAGTCGACCGAGGGTACAGTTCAGACATAGAAGGGTTTGGGTAATAAGGGGGTCCAGGGGGAAGCGTAGTCCACACTTCAGCTGCTCGGTGTATATGGTTATCCATCCCTTAGGACATGTACCCGCCCTGGAGGTTGAAGAGGGGGCGGCGTATTTCCAGTCGGTTGGCAGCTGGTAATTCCTAAGGCGGGTGAGGATGGTAATGGGCGTCGGCTTACTGTACCTGTCCGGCCCTCGGTCAAACGCACGCGCCGGAACTTCCTGCTTCCCCCACATATGCTCGTGCAGGCGGATTGAATACGTGTTATCAATCACGGCGCGGTAGTCATCACCAGAAGTGTCCTCCGAAAGCTCAATGGACGGAGAGTCGGGCACCTCGGGCGAATTTTGCTCATCAAGACTAAGCCCCTCATCAGAACTTACGCTCGCTATGGAGACGTCATCAAAACTTGCCAGGTTATCCCCCATGGCGGAAGCGTCTCCCCTAGGTGCTACATTCTCTATGCCTAAACCCAAAGCAACATCTGTCAATTCATACGACCCGTCTCCGGACCTACCCAGCAGGAACCGGCCGTCATCCGACCACGAACCACCGAAATCAAAATCTACCCCGCTAAAATCCCAGTCAAGATCGACCGTACTAAAGGGCGATAAAGCGTTCAGATTGAGCATACCTTGAGCGGCGGCGGTTATGGGATCCGTAAACGTGTCCGACGAGTCTAGGATGATCGGCATCGGAGCAGTGGCAGGCGTCGGCGGCGCGACGGCGTCGGCGGCGCGACGGCGTCGGCGGCGGGAGCATGAAAGGCGGCGAGCGCGCCGGAGGTCGATTTCTTCCGATTCAGCGAAAATCCCGAACCAGCGGACGGCGACGGGTGGGAAGGACCATCTCCAGCCATTGTCAGAAAAAGGGATTATATCTAACCACAGGAGGCTAAGAGAGTACAGAGACAAATATACAACAATGATCACGGAAAGGAGACACCAAACAGATGACAGAGAAGAAACAAGAAAGAAGAACAGAAATGCCAAGAGCAAGAGTGAAGAAAGAGTACCTTCGTTTGATTTCTCCGGGGAGCTTTTAAATGACACGGCGCGATTTCCAGGAGCGACGGTTGAGAAACCCTAGGATAGGCTATATAGGCTAATCATGGCAACAACGATTTCCTGGCGGCGCGTCACTTCTAACTGCTGGGAGGCTGCGTTGCACGTGGAGGCGAGAGAAAAAACAATCCCGAGGCGTGTGGGCCCCGAGTCGACGGCTGGAGGGAGAGACTCACAGGATAAGGGCGGTTCATTGACCCAGAGGGTGATCCCGCCCTAAAACACGGAAGATCAGCCGCCCAAACCTGGAGGCTTTACCCGCCTGCGGGACAATTGTTGTGCCATTGGGGATCACCATCTGGATCAAGACCCACGTAGTAGGAGATGGACAAAAGGCCCGGGTAGTCGAGGTAACAGGGGAGCAGGCCCAATAACCCGCGAGCCAACGATAGGGACCAGAGGGCCCGAGACGGCCCAAGGAGGGAAGGCCCACGTAAGCTCGGGAGAAAACAGATCGGCCCATTGAGCAAGGAATCAAGGGGAGAGCGTCCAGCGTAGAACAGGCGCGATGGGTGGAGCCGGGACTGACAGCATTAAATGCCGCCGCATGCGTGTCGAGGAGTACGAGGTATGTATGACAAGACATGGTGTACAGGCGCCAATAGCCACGGGGTATAAATAAGAGCCAACAACCTCATTTATGGTAACTAATTTCACTCTCTCTCTACAATCTCTCTCCCTATTTTCTCTCTCAATACTGACTTAAGCATTGGATAGTGTCCCCGGGCAACGCCCCGGACCCCTTTTGCAGGAAACGGTGTATTCCCTCATCTTGGGTGGACTGTCGATCTTCTCATTGGTCTTCACAACCCGCTTGGCACTTTCTAGGCGTAAACAGGAACATAGCAGATGACCACCATTGTAATGAGCTGAGAAGAGGAACTTGTTGACTTTACTAGCATCACGAGAAAATGTCATGGTTAGCCAGGTATATCGCCAACACTCTCAAGCTCAACGACCTTGATGCCGACGGAAATGAAGACCATGGTAACCATAGCACCGGCAAATCTAATGCAGAGGACTCAAAATCTTCTCCAGCAACTGAGTACGATGAACAGTCAAAAGGATTAAGTTAAAATCCTTTTTGGTATGGTAACACGTACACACCATGTGGGAGAGACAAGTTGGACGCCGCGGTGGAAGCAGCCGGAGGAGGATCCACCGTCCATGCAGTGGTGTCTGCGGCCATATTGTCGAAATGGAGTTTCAAAGCGTGAACCACTCTTGCAGGCATCAGAACCGTAGCAAATCCTGGTTTCTTGCTTAACTCGGCGGGACCGTCCCGGGTACCCGGGACGCCGAGAAACATCGCCATCGCCACAGGTGGCCCCAGGCTTCTGAGTTTGCTCCACTCTTGTGGTGGATTTAGGGGTGGGCTTTCGGTCTGTTCGGTTTCGACCGAACTGAAATTACGCATACTGGGTCCCCAAATTCCACCAACCTCAAACCGGATTCGAACCGAATTACCGAATTATAATTCGATTCGTTTCGGAATTTCACACAAAACCGAATTTGTGAGAATACTTGTATCTTCTCTATTTTAAATTATTTTTCACACCAAATGTAAACAATAAATATGCATTATCAATGACAAAATCAAATATTTCAACACATAAGTCATAAAATAATAACATGATTCAAATATTTAAGTCTCAAAACAAGTACAAACATAAAAAAAATTCACCATTTGGAGCTTGCAATTATAGTTTTTCAATTTTTTAGTCGGAAATTCAGAATTTCAATTCGGTTGAAAAAACGCTAATTTCCGAAATATCCATATTTTCCTTTCGAATTTTGAACTGAATAACATTAATTAAATTTCGGTTTCATTTAATTCGGTTTTGATTCGATTTGAGTTTACCGAACCGGTTTCCCACCCCTAGGTGGATTCGTTGTCCATGAAGGATTTTGTCCCTTGTTAGCGACTTCATTTCCTAAAAAGCTTCCTTCTTGTTGCGAGTTTTTTTAGCATTATAGTCATATACGTCTTTAAAACAATATCAGGTAGTCACAATCCAAGGGTAAGTAGCCCATGTACCAATGAGCTAATAAAGCGCGTTAAAATTTTTCCTGATACGAACTAAAGATGCTTCTTAAGTAATTGAGTACCTGATATTCATCCTAACCGTCACATACATCTAAGCCGCGAACAGACAACAAAAACAAATGGTCTTCCTGTTCAGAGAGCAGATATGAACTTCTGTATCCTTGATTGTGCTCGCTCCTTTTCTTCTGGTCCGTCCAAGTCACCAATGTTGTCGTGATACTCCTGCCAGAAATTGCAAACTCTATCAGGATTGATGTGAACAATGATCACAAACATCAGCCACATGTCACAAAGCAGCACCACAATGGATCCTTTATTCAGTAATATGATCTCTTTTGTAGGTTAGCATATAAGAATGAAGAAGAACAGCCCAAGTACATTTCTTCCGGATTCACATACGTCCACTATGGACACCTAGGCTACATGGCTCACATATCTACAAGAGGAAGTCAAGTTTACTGGCAGAGTCTAAGGATACGTGCAATATTTGATTAAGCACATACCTGAAGTACATCTTTGACATCCTTCTTACTGAGCTTGTGCTGTTTCAGTAGTAGTTCAATTCTTGCCCTCATCCCTTGGTGCCTAAAAACAGTAGTAGCGAGAAGGTCGGCACGAGAAATTGATAAAGTCGAAAGGAAAATTAAAAAAGAACAGCCGAAGACAACTCACTCAGAGCACCAGAGGTGACCTAGAATTATTGCAATCAGCTGCAGGATCACAAAACATAAGGCAATGAGTTTGAGCACGTTATATTAACAGTTTCGAAATTTCACACATCTGAAATCTCGAGCAGCATCAAAGTAAATTACATACAAGTATAATGAAAACAAGACTTAAGTTCATACTCGTCCTTTTTCTCTTTATCCAACTCTTGGATAAGTATGATCAGTCATACAGGTTTTATGCTGGATAAGAACTTGGGATCTTAAATCGTATACATAACACTTGGAACTGTCACTGCGAGTTGATTAATGTTCTAAGGTTTAGGTCTTCAATTGATTGATATTCTTCTTCTGATATCCTAGATATTTTCACTAGGCATTAAGATAGTCGATCGTGTTTTTCAGTTGAAGCAGACATAAATAACATTTAGTGGAATCAAACTCCTACATGCCAACCAACAAACCACCTGCCCAAGAAAAGGCTATCCTTTCTCCATATCAATGCAAATACATAGGAAAACCTCAATGACAAAATCTAACCTGAAGGGTATAAAGTCCAAATCCCAGTTTTCTGTTGTATCTTTCCTCATCGTCCATCTGCAAAAGCACAACTGTTATGTGCTGACCCCATTAAGAAAACCATATATCAGCCACTCGGAAAAAATAAAAAAGCAAAACAAATCCCACAAACCTCTATATCATCCACTTCAAGCTGCTCCATCCTTTTAGTCTCCGATTTTACCCTGTCTGAGTACCTGAATTGAAATTGTCAAATTACCCACATGTCAAGACAGGTTAATGGAGCATGGAATTTTTTATATAATCAGGAAAGCTACACAAGAACTCTGGCTGCATCCCTGGGTAACTCAAGTAAGTAGATAAGGTGTCTTCTTATTTGAGTTCATGATACCAAGAAAGAAGAACATTGAACTTTAGCGCAAGAACATAATTTACTTCACAGGTTAAGCACACACATATATTGTTGCAAAAATGGAAAAAGCCCAACAAGGAAAGAAATAAAAGAAGATTAAACAAAGGCTCACCTAATATACAGCTCCATAAGTCGGTCTATTTTCTCACACTCATTCTCCACAAATTTGCTTAGCAATCTTTCCCTCCTAGTGCCTCTCAGAATTCCACCTGGAGAGACAAAGAACCTCAGGAGATTAACAGGTGAACTATAGAAACGGGAAAGAAGAAAATAAATTCAGAAGATGCTTTTATCTGAGTCCTTGTAGGTTTCCTTCAGCATTTAGAAACAAAGAAGCCACTAGGAGATCCCGAGACATAATATCAGCTTTGGGTCAAATATGCAATTTGGGGTTCCGATAAATTTAGCAGTTAGTTCCATGTTCAACCTCTATAGTTCTCTCAACCAATTGATACCTGTTGGAGGTAGTCATACAGTCCAAGCCAGTCACATTATGTGGTCAAGATATTATTGACAGATCAATTGATTAATTAGTTCGACACGACTGTCAAGAAACACAATGGATAAAAAGAATGGAATGCCGAATGAAGGGTAGTGTTCAAATCGAGAACGCTGAAAAATGCAGGAAAATACTGGTGTATTTGATTTTACAAGTAGAGCAAGTTGTCCACTTACCAAATAATGATGCCATCAAGGACACAATTCGCTCTTCTAACTCCTCTTGGTAGCTTTCTTTCTTATTCTTCTTGCTCATTGGAATCTAAAAGAGAAGAAAGTAAAATTTTTAGTTCACCCACCACCAAAAACTAAAGAAAAACAGAAGTGGCAGACAACATTAACTCAAAAATGAAAGATTAACACCTGCAGATAGAAGGACAAACATAAGGAAAATAGCTAGCTATGAACACATAATAAGCATATAGACTTGCAATATAAGTATTTGTATTCAATACTTTAGAGCAACCTTATAGATAGGATACATCAAGAAATTCAGTAAGAAGATTCCTCCTTCCTATCACCCAACTCAGCTACACTTATCCGTCTGTGTCAATCTACCCTATGAATCAAGGGAGTACGTCAAGCCATCAAATCTATATAGTGAAAGTTAGTCGCCTTGTATTACCGTGAATTTTGAGCACTTATCAGGACAACGTTCCTTATTAACTTAGATAAATCATAGCGAAGTGAGGTAAGGCATATCAAACAATACAGCCAAGGCCAGAAGATCAGAGAAGATGAACTTGCCTTACCCATGAAAGCAGAGAATGCTGTCTTCAGACCCAAAACATCAACAAATCGCTCGCATGCAGGCGGATACTTGGTCATTGCAAAATCAAGCGCCCTAATGGCTGAACTGTAAGCAGATTTCTTCTGCTTCATTATGATAATCATCAACTCCACTCCCTCTGCATTAACAAACCTCTCCTTATTCTCCAATGGCATCAGTAAACAACACAAGCAATCAAATAGATTCTCCACCATCTCCTCTTCATCAGAACTCTTGGGATCCTTGGATTTGTACATGGCCACTGCCTGCAACACCATATCCACCCCGTTCATCTGCCCCAGCTTCTTCTGGTTCGCCGTACTATTCTGCAACAAAATCGCCAATATCTCGGAAGCGTACTGCTTGTTGCTATCGAACTCTCTCACTTTGATCTTCCCAAGCAACCACCTGAGCAGTTTCGTCCTCTCGCATACCAATTCTGCCACAGCCGGCTTCACCTCGATCATATTTTCAATCGTCGCAAGCGTAGTGTAGATTGCAGCCATCTCATCAGCATCCGTCTCGGATAACCTCTGCAGATTCTGAACCAAGAGCTCCAACACATTGTTCTCCACAAGCGCATCCACAAGAACCCTGGCTGGCTCGTCGTTGTCCTCCAGAACGTCCTCATCGGTAAGATCCTGCAGCAACTGAACAACGTCGACAGCGATATCGGTGTTGTCGTGCGAGAGAAGGCCCAAAATTGAAGGAATCGTGTTGAGATTGACGAGGTCTGGATACAGCTCCGGGCCGCCGGCGAGCACTCGGAGCTTCTCGAGCTCCAAATGGAGTTCGACCTCAGAATCGGAAAAGCGGTCGGGCTGGTCAGGGTACTTGAGGCGGGCCTCGATGTTCTCCTTGTAGCGGCGCTCGAAGGAGAGAACCAGCTTCTTCAAGGTACGGAGGTCGAGAGCTTCGACGGCACTCTGCGACTTCTCGACGGCTTCCAGGAGACTGAGGTCGACATCGTTGCTGCTATTGTTGCTAGCGCCAGTGATACCGCCGACGTAGTGGGCATCGTTGCCATTGTCAAAGAAATCTGGCGGCGGATGCGACGGTGGTAGGGATGAAGCCTCTCGCTTCCGTTTCGGGTTGTGGCCGCGAGAGCTGGCAGATTCCATGTGGTTACTCTTCGCCTGACTAAAACTTACTTGCTGCTGATGCTTCTTCGTACTAGCTCCGTTCAGCTCAGACTCCGTCAATTGGTTCTGCAGGCGATGGAATGTCACGCCGGTAGGGCTTGTGGCGAAGTTTATACCCGTCTCCCCTTACTTCCTGACTCGAAATTCAATTTCAAGCTCGCGTGACTCGACTCAACTCAATCCCACCGCCCAAAGGTATTCTGGGCCAGAGTGGAATTTGACCTGACCCGTTATTGGTTCTAATCGTGATCCCCTTTTGTTTGGGCCGTGGAATTAACTACGGACCCAGTAGGACTTTGGACTACGGACTTAGAACTATGGACTTAGAACTTGATCAATACAGACCCAGTTGGTGACGCTGATTATGATTGGGTCACATGTAACTAGGAATGACAATGGGGTAGGTCCGGGTCGGGTATCTCGATACCCATACCTGCCACGTCCTTGATCAATACGGACCCAGTTGGTGACGCTGATTATGATTGGGTCACGTGTAACTAGGAATGGCAATGGGGCAGGTCTGGGCCGGGTATCTCGATACTCATACCTGTCCCGTGGCAAGTCAGTTCCAGGTCGGGTAATTTATCATGGGGCGCGGGTCGGGGCAGGTCGACCCAATGGGTACGTAATTTATGTGAAAAACTTTAAAATTATTCGTTATTTTCTTTAAAAGACCAAGAAATAAATCATAATATGATAACATGTAGTTAAAGTATTGGAGAAATTGAGGTTTTCACTTATTTACAATTTTATTACAGCTAAAATATGAGATAATATGAGGAAAATTCTAAGTAATTTGAATAAGATTACAAGTGATTTAGGCAAGAACGGGTCAAGAATGGGGCGGGCCAGGGCAGGTCGGGTCGACGAGAGGTACCCATGCCCGCCCCGCCCCGCCTACGGGGCAGGTCGGACCTGCCCCAAAACAGGTCAAACAGGTCGGGTAAAACGGGTCAGGTCAAAATTGACATCCATACGTGTAACTTATGTGATAAGGTTGAATTTGATTGACCGAAGCCCAAAAATTGGACAATAAAAAGTGGTCATAATTGTCGGTTGACCAAACAGATGTAAAGCATTTCGTCTTGGTTTTTCCCAATCTAACCTCCAGGAACAAACGACCACAACAATCCAGAGCCCATCGTTGTCTTCCGCGCTCTCCCTCTGACTGACTGTGAAAGAAACGCAACCTTCCAATGAAATAGTCTACCGTGGATTGTTTCGGGTGATACACCTCCCTACACACACTCAAAAGAACCACAACTCGTCTAACACAAGCAAGATTCACACACACAAACTCAAAATAAAAGCTAAGAACACCAAACAATCTTTTCAAAATAATGGACCAAAGTTCCCCGGCAACGGCCCAAAAAACTTGACTCGACCCGTATATCACACTACAATCCCACCTAAGGCTCAAGTATAAACCTTAAATGGGTGCAATATAGGGCAAGTATGTTTAAATATCAACCCGGCCGGGCCGATCCATGTACCCTGTTAGAATATGACTTGAATTTGATTAGTGTTTGTTTTGTGTTTGGGCCTATTTAGTTTGGGTTTGTGTTTGGGCTTTGTTTGACATTTTCCTTGTATGTTTGGGAAAAGTTGTTTGGTTTTCTGTTTGGGATTAGGAGAAGAGTTCTATAAATACTCTTCATCACCCTAGTCTGTAGTCAGGTCAGTCAGGTTAGTTTGTTTGGTTTGTCCGTTTGAAATTTGGTTTGTAACATGTACTCTCCTCAAATTAGTGCAACTTGTCCCCCCTGCCCCACGTTAAATTTGTGTTCGTTCGTGTTGGTTTGGATTATCGATTGCACGCTTCTGTTCTGACCAGTGGTATCAGAGCCTGGCCGATCGGCCGGGCAATCGGCTAGGGATTTTGGTGACTGTTGCGGTATCAGGGGAGAATTTTGTTTGTTGCCCCTTGGTGGTGATCAGGGTTTTCGATCACCAAGGATGTTTGTTCAGGATTTAAAGATTGAGAAGTCGATTTGGAGTTGCATGTTTGGAGTTGGAAGTAAATCTGATGTTGGTGTTATCGATGGAAATAACACCAAGTTGGTTATGCATGGTAAGTCCCAACATGGGTTGGACTTGCTGCATGTTTTGATTTGTTGACCGCCCTTAGGGGCATCTGGAGGCAGGGGAGATTCTGGTACAGCTTATTTGGAGAAGTTTGGTACGTTTGACAATTTTGATTGCATCTGAGTTTGGCGATTTGCATCGCGTTTGGTCTGGCGATATGAATCACGTTTGGATATGTCTGGCAATCTTGATTGCGTTTGAGCTTGGCGGTTTCGATCGCATTTGGATACGTCTGGCGATATGTATCGCGTCTGGGTACATCTGGCAACTTTGGTTGCGTTTGGTACATCTGACAACTTTGGTTGCGTCTGGTACATCTGGTATTTGAGAGAGAATTCAAGTCAAGGTGGAGATTGTTAGAATATGACTTGAATTTGATTTGTGTTTGAGCCTATTTAGTTTGGGTTTGTGTTTGGGCTTTGTTTGACATTTTCCTTGTATGTTTGGGAAAAGTTGTTTGGTTTTCTGTTTGGGATTAGGAGAAGAGTTCTATAAATACTCTTCATCACCCTAGTCTGTAGTCAGGTCAGTCAGGTTAGTTTGTTTGGTTTGTTCGTTTGAAATTTGGTTTGTAACATGTACTCTCCTCAAATTAGTGAAACTTGTCCCCCCTGCCCCACGTTAAATTTGTGTTCGTTCGTGTTGGTTTGGATTATCGATTGCACGCTTCTGTTCTGACATACCCCTACTTCGATTGTTTGAGACTTTATATAGCGGATTGGTGTTTGTGAAAATTCTACAATCTATAATTAATACGATTCAAAAAGTAAATGGATTGAAACACTTGGTGAGAAGCTTCACTCGGGAGTTGATCCCCCCTAACTAACTACTATGACCCCTGGGATTGAATGAAACCGTGTGGATGAGATAATTGTGAACCGTTAGGAGGCGCAACTAGTGATAGATACCACTCTCTCAACGCTAGGCCAAGGAATCATTATAGGCTACCAATGTAGCCCTCTTGGCCTAAGCAATTGAGGGTTCACTTACCTTTTCCCTCAAACTGGGGTTTGGACGGCTTAATCACAACTAACCTAGGTGTTCAATTTGAGTTTAGAGATTTGTCTTACATTAATCTTGATAGGAGGCATGGAATGCCCAAGAAAACCCAGCTCGATTTGAGCCTCTTTTAAAAGGGGGTTTCCCTCTAGGCTATGTTAGAATAGCACAATAGATTGAAAAGCACACATAATGCACAATCACCATGAAAAATACCTCAATCTCAAATTAAACAACACCCACACATAATTATCCAATCCACACAATCAACTACATGGTAGAAGTTAAGGTTCTACACACCCAAGTGAAAAGGTGACTACTCTCCATGTTAGAAGAAGGAAAAACCCAAAGGAAAGGGAAAACCATCATTGGGATGCTTCAATCCTCCTTTGTACTTATAGTGATCATCTTTTGAAGAGAAACTTCACAAATCTTGACTTGGAGAGAAACCCTAGCTTCTTCTCCCTCTTGGTTTGTTGCTTTCTCTCTCTAGATTTCATGAAGAAGAAGGTCTCTTCCACTCTAGGTATCTTCTCTTCTTCCTCCTTTCAGCTCCCTTTTTATACACTGTCGCGCTCAGTTCACGGTCCCCATTCACGGCCGTGAAATAATGGCGGTAACTGTCAATCACGAACAAAGACGCGTCGTTTCACTTAGCCAGTTCACGGTCTCTGGCTTCAGTTCACGGTTGTGTGACCGTGAACTGATTTTAGTCCGGTGACTTAAAGAAACGCTCTGGAACCTGACCAGTTCACGGTTCACGATTTTGATGACCGTGAACTCTTTGCTTCCGCCGTGAACTTCGGCTGCTCCCGTCCTTTTGCCCGATCTTCGCACCTTTTCCTCCAACTCTCTACTTCGGAGTTGGTTCCACCTGTTTGAGTCTGAAACACACTGAAACGCGACAAACCTAGCGTAAAACCACACCTTTCGGAGCTCAATTGCCACAAACGCCTAAGGAAACGGGTATGAAAAGTATACATTTAGGCCCGAATCATCATTCTTTTTCTGGCCTACTTGTTCTTTATTACGAGTTCTACTAATAGTGCATTATTGTCCGTTCTTTTCCTGAGCTACCAAGTCTTTATTATTATCAATGTGTCACGATGCAGCGAGAAATTGGGAAAGTGTAGTTTAATTAGCCAACCTCCTTGAAAAAAAATTTCTTTCCTTTTTTTGGGGTTCACTAATCTGTGTGGGAGGGCTTTGTTGATCTTCTCCAACATCTTTCTCCAATTTAGAGAAACTTTGCAACCAATTTAGTTTTCATATGTGTGAGACGGTTTAATTAGCTATCTATGATATTAATTGTTCCAACCTCTCTCTCAACCAAATTAAGGGTCATTATCAAGTGATATATGATCCGTTTCTTCAATCATCCTTGTCGATTTGAATTGTACTCGAAGCAAGTGAGATAACTGCAAAGCTAGAGGTCAGAGGAAATTAAGGAAATATCTTCCATTGTCAAGGGGGAAAAAAAAAGAGTAACTTCGACCAAAGATTGGAATAGGAAGAAAAAAGATCAATTGATGAGCTAACTGCATTTCTTCAGTTCCCTGAATGAATACAAGGTTTCCGTTTCATGCTAATTAGTGGGTTATCGGCACAAGCAGAGCAGCAGACAACAAGATGGAGCACAAGTGATCATTTTGTTATACACAATAATTCGCTTGAAAAAAAAATAATATCTCAATAAGAAAATAGTATTTTTTTTGTCTCTAATTTGTTTTGCTAATTGTGGGTCTCAAAGACCGCGGTTGGGTCAGTAATAATCACGCACGTGTTCATTGCCACAACAGAGTCGTGGCGCATACAAATATACAACGTATATATAAAAGGAGAGATAAATACAAAATTAAAAAAAAATGCGCGTGTATGCAAATATAGTTGTTAATATTCAAACATATAAACCATCCATGATTTTGTACTTATAATATTCATCATGTAATAAGAAAAAGAATTGATGTATAATGTAAAAGTATAATCCAATATATAGAGTCAACACATTAGTGGTTGTCCACAACAAATTAACACAAATTACTGTATATATAACCTGAACGAAGAAGTTGGCTCCAAACATCAGAGTTCTCCAACTTCCCCACTTCCCCTTAAAGACCTTCCCCGATCATGATTAATATACCTAGAGTTAGGCCGTGTAATTAGAAAGAAAGAAAAATAACTAAGAGAAAAAGGTATTGTGGAAGTAAAAAAAAAAAATTAACTAGAGGAGCACGACATGGTTCACCAGCATGGTACACAGCGCAAAAGAAACCGTTAGCAATATCCCAAATTTCTTCAGCATCACCGCCGCCGATCCCTGCTTCCGGATGCTAATCACTGGCGGCGACGGAAACTTCGCGGCACTCTTCCCGCCATCCGATTTACCCGTCAGTCTATTACCGTTGTTGATCTCGTCCGGCAGAGACAAGCAGTGGCTGCTGAAGACGGCCAACATAACCAGAGCCAACAAATTATCAACGGCATTTCTTCTTCCGGCGTAATGAGTGGTGGTGGTTGTACGGTCGGGGCAGGGATGGTTGAGCTGGATCTTCACGGTCTGGAAAGGGACCGACTGGTGGAAGAACGTGTGGGCGGCCTGGCGCGTGGAGACGGACAGCCTGTGGTTGACTTTAACTTCCTCCACCACCTCATCGAAGCTCGGCGAGCTTGCGGTGGCGGCGGTGTTGGTGGAAGGGTCGTCGCCGCCGCCGATGAACCCCAGATAATTGTAAACGTCGTCGTCGTTGTCGTTCAGGAACCCGAGCCCATCCTTATCTGCTGGCAAAAGAAGTTATAGAAAAGGTTTGAGACGGTAAGAAGACTGAGATTGAGAGAGAGAGAGAGAGATCGGGGAAGATGATAGCTTGCGGCGTACGTTACCTGCTTCAAGGCCATCCTGATTATTGTAGTTCTGCGACGTGAAGCTTGTGATGCTGGCTATGGGAACAATCTTGTTCTCCCCCATAAAACTCTGCCATTTGCGGAAAACAATTACATTAAAACTACTCTTCATAGGAAAAAAGATGGGAGTACTCTAATCAATGTTCTTTACTGTATGAGAATAATGATATATCGATAATATGAATCATCAATGACCTTGTTTAGTTGGTCATTTGACATGCCCATCCACCTCAAGTTCTCCGCCACGAAGTGATGATCTCCTCCATCCACGTCACCAATCTCTATATTTCTGGAGCTACTGATCTGCCCATCTAACCACGACGACGACGACGACGTGAAGGCGAAATCGTTGTTACCGTGATCAGCAGCCGCCAGGTGGTTCCCGACGAACCCTGCCGCCGGGAAACTGTTGTATTGCTGGTTGTTGTTGTTGTTGTTGTTGTGTATGAGCTCCTGCGACGCGTGAGCTACGGAAAGTATCTCCTGCAGCAGAAGGTCCGAACCCCCGCCGCCGCCCTCATATTGATTACTATATTGATGATTGTAATAATGGTGGTGGTCGGACGCCGCTCTTTTCGGGTAGTCCTCCACTTCCAACGGCGGCAGCGTGAACCTGTGCTGCAACCTTGCGCATTCCAATGCTATATCCACCTGCATGCCCGGCCATTTTTTAGCTAAGGATTCCAACCTTAATTACTCGTGGACATGGTTGTCACGCCGGGTTCAACCAGTACCGGTCATGAATCGGCATGATCGATATACAAATTTCTAAATAAAATGAGCTCATTTTTAGTATATTTAAATATGAGTACATTTAATTTTATTTGAAATATCACATTTTATTTAAATATCAATATGAATTTTACGTGAATTGTCTTCAAATATGGTTTATATATGATTAGATTCATTTCACAGTAATGATTTTTGACAAAACTACATATTTTATTAATCGGTATGAACCGACACAAACCGGCGCAACGGTATAAACTGGTTAGACAACCTTGCTCGTGAAGTATGCATTCTATTAATTAATTAACGTTACCTTGGAGGGAGGGTAATTGGGGATCGACGACGACGAGGATCCGTAAGGGGAAGGGAAGGCAGCAGTTTGGAAGGTGAAAGAAGGATCCTGCTGCAACTGCATGGAGGAGGAAGTAGTAGTATTGGTTCCAGCTGCTGCCCACGGAGCCTGAGAGCATGATGTGTCCACGTACGCAGCGGCGGTGTCGGAATAAAGCTCCATGCTGCCGGACGACGGCTCCCCAACCTGGAGATGGTGATTCATGGCGGAGGAGGCGTAGTTGATCTTCGGAGCAGTGGGAGGCGCCGTCTTCTTGAACACTCGGCACAGTGCATATGCGTCCTGTACAATTAATTCAATATATATATCATAAGAGAAAAAAAGGAGATGATACGACGTCGTTTTCTTAATTATTGAAGGTGGATGGAGAGAGAGAGAGAGAAAAAAGGCCACGTGTTCGCACAATGAATGCGGCATGAGGTGGGACCTGTAAGCCAGAAGCAGCCGGGGAGTCGCACTCTCGCTCGTCGAGGCGGTACTCGTGCATGACCCAATCTGTGCGGGAACCGTGAGGGGCGCGCCCGCGGTAGTACACTAGGGTTTTCTTCATCCCAACGGAACGCATCTGGGAGTTCACCTTGCGATCTTTGCCCGTGGCCTTCCAGTACCCTGATTTCGTGGCCCGGTTCGTTCTCGACCCGTTAGGGTACTTCCGGTCTCGTGGACTGAAGAAGTACCACTCCATGTCTTTGCTGGGCAGTAGAGATTTTCCTGTCACATTTAGTAGAGATTTGCTTTAATTTTCCACCCAAGGGCAAATAGCAATAGCAGGGACATGATAATAGCTACTTTTTATTGTTTGCTATAACAAGGTTAAGAACAGAATTTAACCTGAAGCTTAGTCAGTACTACTTTCTTGTTTTCTATTACCAAGTTAAGAAAACAATTTGGTGAGTTGGTAATTATTATAATATATATATAAGCCAGTTAGTTTTTGATAGATTGAAATTCATCAAGTTCCCCGCATCTCAACACAAAGTGGGGAAAAAAGGTAAAATAATTAATCCTTTCCTTTGAAGAATGAGCACACAGAGCCTATATATTTTACCCTATCACTATTCTTATTCTTATTTATTTTATTTTTATTTTAATGAAGACCTGATTGCAATTCACTGATCGAGAGAATGAAGGAAACCAATTAATACGTCTAATGCTATTCCATTTCCATATATAACGTGGGCAAGGAACTTTGTCATTTTGTATATTCGTTGCTTGTAAAAAAGCAAAGTTGGAGGTGTGAAACACAAGATAGAACCTAAAACTCCCAAAATAAATGACGAAAATTACAAACAATTCCCGACCCTGGAAACCCTAAAGCAGCTGCCAGACACAAGGATCAAATGATTATCAGTGGTGGCCTCAAGACGCGGTTTTTCTATCTTTCCTCGCTCTGATCTTTAGCCTTTGATTTTTTTTACTTGAAAAAAATGGAGAAGAATGAGAGAGTAATTAGGGCATATTATATATGTACCTGGTAAATCCCAGGGCTCGCACTTGTAAAGATCAACTTCAGGGATGATCTCCAGCTCGATCTTCTGGGCGTTGATCTTCCTCTTGAGGTAGTACGCCACCAGCTCCTCGTCGGTCGGGTGGAACCGAAACCCAGGTGGCAATGACACCGGAGCCATCGATCTCTCTTCTCTTCTCTTTCCTACGACCCGACCCGACCGCGCCGGCGTCTAGCTCTGTCGTCGCTGCAGTCCTGGATCGGCTCCAGCAGATAATGAGCTGAGCTAAGCTAAGCAAGATATGGATGGAATTGAATAACAACAGTTAGTAATGTGGGTAATCAAATGATATGCGCGCATAAATGAAAGCAGCTGCGTGGTGGGTTCGCGGCCCAATAGATTCGCTTATGGATGAGAGAATAAAGGCAAAGTGTCGTTATGAAAACCAGCGCCCTGCCTGCATGCATGAGATGAGAAGAGAAGAGAAGAGAAGATGCAACTAAACTAATTAACCCACCTTTGGGGATTGAGGACGCAGAGAGGCAAAGGGAATAATGCGGAAGGAAGGGAAGGAGGAGGAAGCGAGAGAGAGAAAGGGAGGAGGAGAAATGAGGGCGTCGGTTGGGGGTATTTATTTGTTTTATTCATGAGAGGAGAGGAGAAGAAGCGAACAAAAAGAAGCACCCCGGCCAAAGGTAAAGGGCTCAAGGGGGGACAAAAGGAGGAGGAGGAGGAAAAAGCAAAAGTAAGGGAGTTTGCCGCCCCTGCCCTAATCTGGCTTTTTGGGTGTTGGACTCCTTTTCATACTCTGGTGTTTGCTTTTTGCATCTTCTTCTTTCCTTTCCCTTCATCATTAGTTGATTCTCTTTGCCGTTCTCGCCAAGCTTATATGCTTGTTTCTACGAGGAGCTATAGCATTTCTATTATATATTTTATTTGGTTTTACACCTTCCAGATCTTTGTGCGCAAGGGATTATATACCTTTTCCCATCATACACCTTCATCTTCATGGGTACGAAAAACATCTATACAATTTGCAATGTGGGCGGACAAAAAAAAATCAAAATTGAAAAAACAAATACCAAAATTATGAAATACCGATAAAAAAATGTGAATATCCTAATAATGAATTCGAATTACAGCTATCTATTTCAATACATGTATTTAAAATATATCTATCCAAATACAGTCTTATAGAATTTCGCTCATCCAACTTTTTATTTACGACATTTAAAAAAAAAATGATTCAGTACTACATGGATTGATCGATTGATTATTTGTGATGGGAGTCTATTTAAGAATGTTGATGTCAAGATAAATTCTAGTAGTTGACTCACTACCATACGATGAACGACTATATGAATGTTTATTCTAGTGACATTGATGACACGTATAAATTACTATTTTAGATCCCTTTATTATAGTTAGAATTGCATGCTGTTCATATATTTATTGTCATAGTCACTTGAATTTGTTTAATAATATCTAAATGTGTGTTTTAGTAGCTCTATGATCACTTTTACTATTTCAATGCACTTTTGATAGTGTTTCATGTGTTTACATGCCATGGCATCCTAATGAACCACCTAGTACAAGTAGGGAAACATCAAGGCCGAACTCCTAGGAGTCAGAATGCGAGATCATATCGAACTCAGAAAATGGCATAAAAACAGTTGACCATAACCTAAAATGATGCCTTGGTTGTCTATTTGGAGGGTCTAATGTAGCCCAGAATCTCAATAAATATGGGGAACTTGGTGTCCAACATGAATGAAACCACAAGGAACTAGGAAAACGCGTGTAGACCGACTTTTCCTATAACATTTTAGTCTTTGAAATCTTTAACTAACGGGTTTGCTCCCGAGCATATTAATTTTTTTTAAAAAAGAAACGAAAAACTTGTTCAAATAAACTGAAATGATACGATCATGGCTTAAAACGAAGCCCTATACTTGGGAAAACCATAAAATCTTAATCTGAATCCCCCGTCTTTACTCATAATCATAAAGTATAATAACTAAAAATTTCATGATACTGCTTACTGAGATCCGTGGTCAGACATCCTCGGAAGTGCTCATGTGGTCCTCATCTGGCAGGTTGCTCTCTCTCTCTGTACCACTGCGTTACTTATCATCGTCTGTTGTCAGACTGTGGTATGCCAACCGTGTTATGTATCACTCTGGTTGCGTATCAAAACTTGAAAATGGAAACTGCGTTACACGCCGTCCAGTTTCATGCCTGATCAACTACTGCATTTAGGTATAGCCGTCTAGTAGTAATCCCTCGTGACTGTGGCTAGCTAAGCGATGTTACTTATTAAATTATTCTTTCTTATTCTCTTGCTCTTCTCACCTTAACTTATTTAACGGTGAATACTAAAAACACTCGTTCTTAAATGTTATAGATATTTATATAGCAAGTTAGAAACTTAAATGCTTAAATGTAGATATTGAAATGCTCCAAACAATAAATCCAATGGAAACATGCATAATCAAACACAATCACAAATCAAACACATAACTTCACACAATGCAATTACTTAAAACACATAAGCCCTAGAATCCCTTAAGAGACATTTCTTTATATCCTTTGACATGGAATCCCTTAATACAATTGCTCCCTTAATCCTATAAACCGAAATTAGTTTCCTTTTAGTCAGTATTCCTCAAATTTAGTCCCTTTAACGTACTGGAAAATTTCCCTCCTTAATTTTCTAGTCCCAAAAGTTCTTTAAAATGACATTTAATCACTTTCAAATAAATTTCTCAAAAGTGGAATTTTTTCCAACATTTTTCAAAACTTCAATCATTTCAATTAAATCAATAACCCTTGGAATAAACCTCATTAAATCCTCCTACATTTCCAAAAATTCATTTTCCATTAAAAATTCCAAATTATGTCTTCAAATAACTCAAAAAATTTATCAAAAGTATTAATCATAAATCACACTTTAAGTAACCCTCTTTCTATTAAATGTTATCATAAATAAATATGACAACCATTTCATGAACCCTTAAAACTACAGTTAATAATTTTATAACGTCTAACCATAAATTTATAAAATCATGAAAAGTACCAAGTCACTACTGGTGACCTTGCGTGCATTGCCTTTATGCTTCATATGAAAGATTGTTCGGCCAAGGTAAGGCACGAACCTCATAAATGGTAGGCGGATGGGGGTAGGTCTAGCATAACCAGAAGAAAACTCTAACCTTGAGTTCTTTGTAATCCTCTTCCATAAAGCTGTGAAGATCCCTTGTTGTGATGCTGAGTCCCAATAGCCTCTCAGGCTAGCATCATAGAGAGCACCTCTCGTGTCGTATGGGGGATCCCTAGCTTCTATGCGAAGCTATCATAACTGTTGGTGAAGAGCCTCCCCACCAACTGATAGGTGATGCATTTCTAACTAGAGCTTCATGCTAGTGATTTGAGAATGTGGCGAGGAACTCTCTAGTCAGAACATCAATGGTCTATCCTCATATGCTGAAGAAGTGCTAGAAGACATGCATGATCATGTATCTGCCTCAGCTACACCCCATCCCTGCTACTCACACAAGTCATCCCAATCTATCTCTCCTTGAGACTCCACATGAACATTTCTCCATCGCTCCACTCTTGCACCTCTGGTCCCTTGTGCATCTATCCACTAAAACTCATTGATCTTCTTGTATCCAAGGATAGTCGTAAACTATTGGTGCTAGAGGAAATTCGAGCAAATCAATATTTATCAATGGTTTACTTTATGAAGCAATCTGGCTTTGCTACTTCCCCTTCTCTCTGGATGGAAGGGCTCAGTTGTGGTTGGAAAACAATGCACCTGAGTCGATCACATTATGGGTTGATCTGGTGAACAAGTTCCTAGTCCGCTATCATCCTTCTTCCAATACTATGGATCTACGAAAGGAGATCACTTACTTTGCACAGGAGAATGACGAGACCCTTAGAGATGCATGGGAGAGATACTCATGTCTCTTTCTGGATTGAGTTCTCACTATTTACATTTGTCCATGCATCAAAATTAAGGAGTTTGAATCATAGATAGAGCATATAGGTAGTCATGTCAGATTTGAACTGCTCTTTTCTTTCTGTGTAATCCCTCTTACCATGATATGTAGCATTCATGTTACACTTAATGAGGAAGATGGAGGCATAAAATTAACACATGCCAGATTTATAGCCCCGATCATATTATCCCTTAGTCAACCCCTTGAGCCATGAATCAATTCTTTGTGTATGTTCTAGTCTCATTTGTTTTCTTCAAGAATCCACATAGTTGATTTTTGCATGATTTGTTGAAAGTGCATGATGGAGTAAGTGCCTAAAAGTTGAGCAATGTGTTCTTAGAGTTTAAAAAAAGTGGCAAGATAGTTAGCTCTCAAGGAAATAAAAAAAAACGAATGAAAATAAAGAAAGAGAGCTGCCACAAAAAGTTTAATATTACAGAAAAGTTTGTTATCTCCGACACTCTTGTGCTTAAAATACGCTAGAAGCAGCATTAGCATGGAAAGTTGCTATGCATAATTCATGTGTATTTGATTTGGTTGGAATTGTGGAACTTTGGTTGTATGCATCCACCGCCTCATATCATGTTCCCCATGTCCAAGCCCCCGGCTAGTTACATTGCAACCCGGTCAAGTCCTCCTAACAAGTTAGTTGCGACACCTATTTTGCGAACTCTAACTCTTAGAAGCTACTACCATGGCGAAGATGTGTTAATGATGAGAGATTGAGTATGCACATCCTTTGCAACAAATTGTCCCGACTCCACTCGTGGAGAGTGAACGGTGAGTCATTTTTCCATAATATTTATCTTGAAGAGGACCTAGATTGCTCAGTCTTTGATTCTGATTTCTTGATCTTTATGCATGGGTGACTATGACAAGTGAGTAGTTGAAACAAGTCATTTTTTGGTATGTGAACAGAGAGGAATCTCTTCATTTCCATGTTTTTGCAACATTCGGATGTCATATGTGTGGTGGTTGTCGAGGTTGTTGTTGTTGTTGTTCGTGTATCGATGTCAAATAGCCAAGGTGTTTCATGTATTTGTGTGCCTCTATGATATGTCCCTAGAGTCTACATGGTTAAGATGTTTTGAGCACCTCGTGTCTTACTTGGTTTGCTTGGGGACAGCAAACGTTAAGTGTGGGAGAATTCAATAATACCATGATACACATGTTTTTTTCCCTAATTTCTTAGTCGTTTGGCTTGGTTTTTATCATTCCTTAGCCTATTTAATGCTAGGTTGCATTCTTTTGTCACATTTCAGGCCCTAACAAGTAAAGGGAGGCATATGCGCAAGTTTCGAGTCAATCAGAGGTCGTTTGGTCAATCAATAGCCACTCAAAAGTGAACTAGAGGCAAAATAGCGACTCTGTTTCTCCATCCAAGGACAGTGTTACTTATGCCGATAGGAATCGTGGGGAAGGGACAAAACACGGGCAAAACGAAAACACAAGCACCGCCCGTGTTTCTCCCTCGAGTGCTAGTGTTTCTCCCTTTCCTAGGAAACTTAAGTGAAATGTGGGAAAGGGCAAAAACAAGGGCATGGCAAAAACACCGGCACCAAAACACGACCATGTTTTGGCCAGAATCAGGTATAACTCACAATTTTGAGCCTTTTGAAAGGGATCCGACTTTTGACAGCAAAAATAGAGTTCTAAAAAGAGAAAGTGACGATGAACAAAACCGTGGAGCTGATTTGAGCTGATATACTACCTTTGAATCTTGGAGAGCAAATCGACATCCCGAAACTTATTATACACATCTTCACGAGTATGACTACTCCGATTATGGTTTTCCTTTCTCTCTATGTCGTAAACCTCCTTTTCAGTTGGGTATGAAGAACCCTAGTTCCATGTGTTATGATTTTTTTTTGGTGAACTTTTGGATGTTATACTAATTGGTTTTATTCAATTGAGGCATGATTATTTGAGTCAATTGAGTTTTGAGCACATTCTATTGATTTTGGCTTTAACCTAGGAGAGATAAAATCTGATTGGGTTAAAAGAGCTTCTTCAATTGGAAGTAGTGAATCCATTGTGCGAGAGTCGATCAATTTATTGCTCTATAATGTAATTCACTCCAATAGAGGAGATTTTTGTGTATTACCTTGACATTTTATTCTGGTGGAGGTTAGTCGCCCGCCGGATACTTTTTCTAAGAGGGCTTGGTCTGCTTTAATCAAGATTCCATGCTATTATTTTGTCTTTTGCAGTTTAATCATCAGTGAAAGAGCTTCTTCAATTGGGTTAAAAGAGCTTCTTCAATTGGAAGTAGTGAATCCATTGTGCGAGAGTCGATCAATTTATTGCTCTATAATGTAATTCAAACCAATAGAGGAGATTTTTGTGTATTACCTTGACATTTTATTCTGGTGGAGGTTAGTCGCCCGCCGGATACTTTTTCTAAGTGGGCTTGGTCTGCTTTAATCAAGATTCCATGCTATTATTGTGTCTTTTGCAGTTTGATCATCAGTGAAACAACTAAGGGAATTACAACTAGTACCTAATTGAGGAGCTAGGGGGACAAATACTTAAGTGACCTCTCTTGCATATGAAAACCAGAACATTCACCTGCTTTCTTTTCTGCTTTGCATGCAACAAACTTCTCTACACTTCAACCGCTAAATAATAAAAAATTCACTGAATAGTCAGTACATCTAGGACACAAATTTATAAGTAGAACTGAATCCACATTACTGCAGTCGCTTTCACTAGTTACACTTGAACATTATTAAGAGTTGTGTTTTAGCGAGTCAAAGCCTGTCATTCAACCTTCTTCCCAAATTCGGTCAACTACCCCAAAATCCGATCAACCCTCTTCACAAATTCCTACATTTCCTTCTTACCCCCCAACAAATATAACCACTAGATCACCTACTCTCAATCTTATCCATCCATTATAAAAGGTATCGATTAAATCACCTCAATCTCAGTCATCAATTATTGTTTTGTAGTACTATAAAACTACAAAGTTTTGTACCCTAATCTACACCCTTTTAAGTCTTCTTCCTGACTAATTTATTTAGTATTAATGATTTTCCCTTTTAAGTCTTCTTCCTAACTAATTTATTTAGTATTAATAATTTTCCATTTTAATGGATTCTATTACAGTCGTCATAACTCGATTGTACCACAAGTCATATCATTCCACTAGTCAAATCCTTGTTACCGTTTTGACAACCTTGCTCTGAATACCATACCAAAGAACTAATATACCCCACCCCACTGCAATACTAGAAAATGCCCCACCACTCCCAAAGAATATATTTCTGTTGAATTAACCTCAACCTAAGAACAATACTCTGAAACTAATTCAAAGCTTAAACCCGTTCGTCTTTAAAAGTCAAATTCAATTGTCCTGAAGCTGTAATTCGGATCTTAGAAGCACAAGAATCTGCCATTTTCATGTCAGCTACAAATTCCAGCCCACATTAGCAAGCAAAGATACAAGTTCGGTTGCCAACCAAAGAGCAAAACACTGATTCATGCATTCTGATAAAACCAGTCAACAAGATCAAGATGACAGTAAAATACGGTATGGCTGTGGCCGTTCTTCCTAATGCTTCTTGATAACAGACTGAACTCTCGAATCAACTACCAAGTTACCTCGCTCAAGGAATGAGGAATACACAAGTTAATCCTTACAAGTTTAAACAAAGGAATACCATCACCAATGTAGTCATCTCGTGGGAACAAATACACAGATCATACCAATGAGCATCAGCCCCCAACTCATTCCAATCCCACCATACATGCTACAGAGAAACCAAAATGATTTTGCCAGAAAGACGAGACCGAAATGATAACAAATGCAACCATGTATCTGAATCTAAGAGGAAGCTAGGCAAAATGGAGAATCAGATAAGCAAAACAAACAGCCGGAAATGAACATTCATAGCAATGGGAGCAAATGTCACAAGTAGGTTCCACCATCTATCAGCAGCAACAACAGAGAGAATGGCTGATAGAAAACATTAAGAAGGCACAGATAGCTTTTTAACATAATATAAAGCAAGGGCAAAGTCAAATACGCTCGCTCGGATCGCAAGACTGCAAATTACTTTTCCTCCTGTTATACTGTAACGAGACACGATAGAAAACAGATGGGAAACAGAAAACCCCTGTTGTGAGTTCATACCACAGCTTTAACAGGAGCAGCACCTTTCTCGGCTTCGGGGATTTTGACATAACCCATCTTCTTAGGCGATGCATCTTCTTCTTCCTCTTCCTCATCATCGTCGTACAATTCGTCGTAGTAGGCGGCAGAGCGCACGGCGAAGAGCGACCAGACCAGGTACATAGTCGCGGCAGTGAGAGCTCCACAGCCGACGCCAAAGAGCAAAGCCACAACCACGCTTAGGATATCCTTAGTACGGTCTCGGAGAGAGCTCATCTCGTGGGACGAAAGCCCGAAGGGGAGAAGACCGGCGTAGCCCTGGTGCTCCTCTTGCTGCCGCTCATCCCGTGGGACGAATCGCGAGCCACCAGCGACATGATTCCCGAATTCGAGGCCGGGGAAGACGGCGCGATCGCTAATCATGTTGGATGAGGATTCCGAGGAGCTCTGGTGGCCGATTTCGGTCACAATTGCCACGAACCCCGCGGAGCGACGACCGAAATTAGGGTTAGGGTAGCGGAAGGAGTGAAGAGGCCTGACGGAGACGGTGTAGGAGGAGATGTAGAGAGTCTTACAGGGCCTTCCGGCGGAGACGGAGGTGGAGAGGAGCCCGATCAAGACGGAGAGGAGGAGGAAGATGACCGAAACATGCCTCGAAGTCGACGCCATTTGAGAGGAGGAATTTGACAGAACTCGCTCTTGCTTTGCTACAGCTACGAACGAACGACACGAATGAATAATATGACTTCTTGTTAGCTCTCTTGGTAATGTTTTGGATTTTTTTATTAAAAAACAAATAATACTAAGAATTAACCAAATATTAATTTCAAGCTAAGTAATTTTGTTACCAATCCAACCTAGTCATTGTTCACTTTCATTTTCGTTTTCTGTTTTCATGTCATAAATTTGGCAACTGAAATGAGAAAATCTGTTTACTTTTCATTCTACTTTTTATTCGTTTTCAACTCTGAAAACAGAAAGTGGCAGCTTCTTGCTGTTTTCGGAAACGAAAAAATATTGTTTTCACCTGTTTTCAACATATGTTTTCTCAAATACAGGAAACAGAAATGAAAGTAAACAGGCCTTTAACCTTAAGTTCTTTGTGTGGGAGCTCTTGCACCGAATCTTGCCAACTATGGAGCTCTGCTAGAGAAGAAGGTGCTAGTTCTTGCTCGATGCCCGGTTTGTTGGGCGATCGAGGAGACTACTGAACATCTTTTTTTGCATTGCCTTGTGGCGCGCGGATTGTGGGAAGCTGCGGGTCTGGGCCGCTGAGTTGGAGATACTCCCTACCAAGTGTTTTAATATTTTCCGGCGCTTCCTGGAACGCGATGCTTCGCCTTCCCATGTAGTTCGGTTGGTGTGCTTGTTGTGGAGAATTTGGAAGGGTCGGTACTCGGTAGCATTTGAGGGACAACAGACCCTTCCATCTATTCTTAGACAGGAGTTCCTTTTTCAAGCGAATGAGTGGTTGCAGTTTCCGCAGGAGGAGGGACGGGGTGGTGCTACACCTGCTCTGACGCAGAATGTGGGATTGCCTGCTGGCCAGGGGGATTCGACAGGGGGAATTATCTGCTCTTTTGATGGTGCAGTCCGTGAGGGATCCAATGCAGCAGGAAGAATGGTTTTACGTGATGCAGCAGGTATGGTGTTGGCGGTACACGGAGTGATGTATAGCGGTCTTTAGAATCCCATGTTGGTGGAGTTATCCACGTTTCGGGATGCCATCCGGTGGTGCCATCGTCTTGCCTTTGAGGATGTATTGATGGAAGGTGATGCGAAGGTAGTCATTGATAAGGTCACTGCAGGGGGCATCTCAGACGCTTCTGGTGGGGCCATATTTGAGGAAGTTCGCCATTTTCTTTCGGCGTTGCCCGGGTTTCATATTAAGTTTGTGCGTAGGCAAAACAATAGGGTAGCCCATTTGGTGGCTAAGAAGGCCCTGTGTTTGTTTCCTACGGGGTGTAATGTGTTTGATTTTCATTCTTGGCTTTGGTTGGAGCTAGGTCATATGTAACTTGGTTTTCTTGTTTAATGCAAGTGATCGTTTCGTCAAAAAAAAGTTAGTAATTTTTTTACTAATATTAACTTAGCAATATGATACTAATTTGGAAGAGAAACATGAATGTCGACATTTCAAAATTTTAGTATTCTAACTAAGAAAAGAGTTAGAAAATTATTAATGATAACGTAAAAATGGCTAATAATTTAATGAATTACACAAGATTTGGCTAATTATTAATATTTTAATAGGTTTGGCTAATAAAAAAATGTGAAAAAGGTTTGGCTGATAAATAGCCATTACCCTTTAATCTTCAAGTATTTTTATTATAAAAAAATGACTAATCTACACAATAAAGAAAAGCCAAATGAGAAAACTTGAAGCCCCATTTCAAATTTCCTTCATCCGGAGTGAAAGTAGGAACGGTAGATTCGTCTTCACAATCACTTATTATTTTCTTATTTACATAAAAAATACATTAGTAATGGGATTTGAACTGTGGTCTCTTCAAACAAAGATAAGAAACATAACCAGTTACAATAAACACATTTGTGTGATATTTTTCAAATAAAAACATACAGAAGCTTAAATCTGAAAAATATGAGACTTTTCCACCACTATTAGCAACCGAAATGTCATTGATTCAAATATTGCATATATTGAATTTAACTCTTGAATGTGTAGAAGCGATGTAGAATTCTTAACATAGAATTAATTGTTATAACTATCATAAAGTAACGATACTTTTAAATACAACTTTTGAGTGAATATGAGGCACATGTGTCTTTAAGAGAGGGGTAAATATGGAAAGCTTGAGTGATGTTGGTTTGCCAAACGCGGATGGAAAAGACGCTACTAATGTAAACAGGTCCAAATAGTGCCCCGACCCACTAAACGCTCAACCATCGCCGTCTCTCCAAACTTCTCATCAGGCTCAACAACCGACTAACCTCCTCTACCTCTATTATTAAGCAAGAGAAATTCTTGGTGGGGTAAATATGGATAGATTGAGTATTGTTGGTTTGCCCAACGCAAATGGAAAAGGTGCTACTAATGTAAACGAGCAAAAATAGTGTCCGACCCACTAAACACTCAACCACCGGGTTACTTTCGCTACACCTAATATAAGAGTGAAATGGGAAAGGTGCTTCCTCCATTACAAAATCCTTACATCCATTGCAAAAGTATGAATGGTAGATTCGTCTTCACAGTCATTTATTATTTTCTTATTTACAGGAAAAGTACATAAGTGATGAGATTCGAATTATGATCTCTTTGAGAAAAGACAAGAAACATAATCAGTTAGACTAAGCAAATTTGTTTAAACCTTTTAAATTAAAAACATACAGGAAACTTAAATCTGAAAAATCATTGGAATTTTCCATTACAGTTAGCTAAGTCACTAACTCTCCCCTAAATATTTTTGTTGGTATTTGATACTTCTATTTTCATACTTTGATTATTTTAATTCACGTTTAATAATTAATTCTATTTCTATTTATCTTATAAAAGGAGAATAATTTTAAAATCACAAGCCTAATATCATTGGTGCAAATATTGCACATCGAATTGCAGTATTGAATGTGTAGAAGCGGTGCAAAATTCTTGACATAGACTTAAATAATATAACTACCATAAAACAACAATATTTTTGAACATAGAAGTTTTGAGTCAATATGTATAACATGTGTCTTTAAGAGAGGGGTAAATATGGAAATGTTGAGTGATGTGGGTTTGTCGAATGCGGATTGAAAAGCCGCAACTAATGTAAATATGTCTAAATGGTGTCCCGACCTACGTACTGAACGATCAACCATCATCGTCTCTCCAAAACCTTCCCATAGGACTCGACAACCGCCTAACCTCCTTCACCTATATTGTTAAGCAAAGCAATTTTCGGAGGGGTATATATGGAAAGATTGAGTGTTCTTGCTTGGAGAGCTGACTGGTGGGTTATTTAGTTTCTTTGACAGTAATGTGTGATCTCTTAACATCAGTTCATTTGGTTGATCTTCTAGGTTGACTTTTGAGTTTATTAAAGATAAACAGTGCCCCGGGCTCCTATGCTACTAAAGGCTCAACCATCACCGTCTCTCCAAACCTTCCCATCGGACTCGACAACCGCCTATCCTCCTCCACCTATATTGTTACACAAAGCAATTTTCGGAGGGATATATATGTAAAGGTTGAGTGTTCTTGCTTGGAAAGCTGAGTGATGGGTTATTTAGTTTCATTGAAAGTAATGTATGATCTCTTTATACCTGTTCATTTGTTTGATCTTCTAGGTTGACTTTTTAGTTGATTAAATATAAATAACTATACTTTTTGTTGCTTTTGTTATGATACTCCTTTTGAGTATCATCATTTTTCTGATTTGAAATGTTTTGGTGGTTACTTTCCAGTAAACAAAGACTATTTTGATTAGTGTTAACATAGGGAATAGCTTCAATCATACCACTTTTACAAAAAATTTATATGTAAGAGTTGAGATCATTGACGAATTGAACTATTCAAGCTATAATGTTGATCTTCAACATGTAAAACATAGTTTATTTTGAGTGAAACAACCTCATGATTGCAGATAAGTTTTTACAATATGATGTTTTGTGATAGTGTTTACTTGCTTCCAGATTTAGAAGTGGGGTTCTAATTACTACAATCTACACATAGTATAATAGCATGGAGGAAAAAATCATTCCCCCATTTCAAATTTCCTGCTCCATGAGCGTTTGTAGGAATAGTATAATAGGGAGTGTCAATTTTTTCTCTTTCCTCTATGGAACGAGCCAACTTACCGTACACGTGTGGACTTGAACAGGCCCAGGGATTGTTGCGGCCCACAAAAACAGAACAGGTTCCAGCCACGGCCGCATCTGTTTCATGCCTCCATAGCGATCACTGTAACCGAGTCTTGGCTTGTTCTGATGCTGGATCTGGACTCCACCAACGCCGAGAATAAATGAGATAATTAGAGAAAGAGAGCTTCGTAATTGTTTACAAAATAATTTCCCCAATCCTTCTTCTGTGTGCTAATCGCCTAATCCCTTCCCTATGAAAAGAAATCCAAGCATACTAAAAAAATTCCAGTCATGCACATGAAGAAGGGTGATAAATTGCATGCAAGTAAAAAATTTAAAGATTGAGTCATTTAATCAAATCATAATCAACCACCCCTTTTCCATCATTTGTAAGCTCTAACAGATAAGTGACAAAGAAATTCACAATATCGCTTCACTGTAACAATACAATATTATTGAAGATTGGTGGCTTTCTCTTCTTCTTCGTTAAACTAGCGTCGAAGATATACAAAGAGGGGGGTTTAAACAAGTGATAAGAGAATGGAAGATTAAGAAATGAAAAACAAAGACCGTGAGGGGGTGGAAATTGACGTTTGGGGGGAGGATGACATGTAGGAAAAAGGTTTGCAAAACTAAAATTAAGGACAAGAAAACAGGGATGCGAAGAAGTGGCTACCGGCGGCGATATAATTGAGATAGAGAGAGAGAAAGAAGTGAACCATGAGCCGGTGAGCACTGAGCAGCTTTTTCTAGGGGATATAGGATTTTCTTTAAGCCCTTTGATTTCTCAGTGTTGGTATATATATGAAAGTGCAAAACAATACTCATTTTTTATTGCTAAAAAGAAAAAAATTAACAATAAACTAATGCATGGATTCTAATGGGCTAACCGCTAACCATAGAATAAAAGAGTTGAATGAGCCTGACTCATACGAGATTTGACCATCAAGTTTCAAGTAAAATAAATGAACATCATGGGTTTGTCATCCTAAAATATGCTATTTTCTCTATCATAACATATATTATTCTATTATTTTATATCATAGTGGCTAAAATATAATGTATTTTAAAGTTATTAACTGGTTTGACCTCGACCAACGTGATTAGTCCAATTTTTATAAATTTAAATATATATTATGTAATTATTTGATATACTAATGATTAAATTATAGTGTATTTTATAGGGGATTTCTTATTCGGTTTTCTAAAATTCGATTTCTATAAAATTTACTCCACCTCATCATATTACCAGAAATAATACTGTTTCACAAGGTAACAAGTACTCGAACTTGGTTCATAAGGCTGATTTTTTGATTCGTTGCATCATCCATGCCTCTTTCCTGCTAAAATTCACTATCTTTATCGTGTGTTTCCAAAAAAAAAAAACTACATGATAATAAGTTATACACCCCATTACATTCTCAAATTTCATATCTCACCTTCCTCCGGCCAACTGACCGTGGCCCACGCTAGTACATTAGTAAACCCAAACTATCATGAAAATGCCACTTGTGTCCCAACCTATTCAATATTTCGAAAATGTCCCAACGTATTATAGTTGTGTGTCATTCATCTTATGATGATTTCGTTGACCGTTAAAGATAATGGTTGACTAGACGGTCAACCTTGAAATGTTGGTTTTGTGGCACAATCGTGGCAGCCACCACCCGACACATCAAATTATTAATGAAAAATACAATATTTTTTCTTAGCAAAATAATGAAAAAAAGAGAAAATAAAAATAAACTAAAGTGGGTAGCCATTTATTATTCTATGCTGAACTTCTTCTCTCGCATTCTGGCGTCCTCCGCCATGACACAAAATCCCCGACGACAGTGGATTAAGGACGGAGGAGATGCACGCAGCGGTGGGAGGTAGAGCAAGTACCATATGAGGGAGAGGAGATGATGATGGCAGCGAAGAGAGCAAATTTTGGTCTTGCTCCGATCTCCTACTCCGATGGGAATGCCCGGAGGCCCCGGTGAATCGAAGACGACTCATAGGCTTGAAGTTTGCACAGGCCCGCCATACCATGTGCTTGAAAGACAACGGTTAATATTGGGGGTCGTGAGGACTTGAACACGTGACCTCACAGACAAACCAGGCTCTGATACCATGTCATAAACCAGTTGGTCCCAATAACTCGAGTTGTTGGGAGAAGGTTATGCTGAATCTTATACAGGTCCGTGTGTGGTGCTTAACCACTTCCTTACAATTTGGGTTACGAACAGCGACGCCGATTTATGGAACTCAAACCGAGCAGGGATTTCGACTTCGGACGCACTTGGTTCTGAACTGCGATTTTGACTTTGGGATTTGGGATTTCGACTACGAACAGCAGTGATGTCTTCTGGCTCTTTCCGCCGTCGCCTGGTTCGTCATGCCGCTGTCTAGATCGTCAATCCAAACCCAAACAACCATCCTCTCCGGCCAAACCCACGACCTCCAGCTTTGAATTCCCAGCGGCGACCACGATTTCGACGGCATCTCTTATGTCTCAGCCTCTCCCTTCGTCCTTCTCGATCTGTCAATCTTCGACGCAACTCTCGGCATCGGAGGATTTGTTATGGGGATTTAATGGTGGCGCGTTCCTAGGGGAGTAGGGATGGCAATGGGTCGGGTTGGGGCGGGTTTTGTCAAACCCAAACCCATGGGTTTATCAGCCAAAAAAATCCTGGGTAAAACCCGTTGGGTTTGAAAAACTCAAACCCAACCCAACCCGTTGGGTATCCGCGGGTTCATGGGTACCCGTGGGTTTTTGTGGTAAAAAATTTACAATAACAAGTTTCTTTCAAAATAAGTTTTAACATTAATTTTCTCATACAAATTAATCATACAAAAAACACCAATCTAGAGCATACAAGCAAACCGCAAATGATCAATACAAATTGTTCAAAATTAAAGATAAACATCTATAAACAATAAGATTAATTGAAAGCTTCTTCCTCGTCAACTAAGTTTTTTCACTCTCCACTTCATCATATCAACTTCATTCTAAACAATTAGAATGAACAAATTATACATGTCTCCACAAGCATAAAGAATATTAGTTGTTTAAGGAAGATATATTATTTAGAATATTAAATATATCGGAAAAGTAATTATATGTGTGTGGGCGGGTACCCATGGGGTGGGTTTATCTAAACCCAACCCGACCCGGTGAATAGTGTAGCGGGTTTAAACCCGAACCCGACCCAAAACCCCTCAACATGGGTTTTACCCGCGTTGACCGGGTTGGGTCGGGTGGGTACCCGTGGGTTCGGGTTTTGTTGCCATCCCTATAGGGGAGGATTTGGGGTTAATAGCGGCGGGTTCGAGGGAAGGGTTTAATGGCAAGGGAGGAGGTTGGACAATCGAGTGGGAAGGAATAAGAATTCGGAGAGTTTTTGTTTATTATTATTATGATGGGGATTCATGTCAAATGCCACGTCAATGCTGACTGGATTTTTTCAGTTAAATACTAGCGGTCAATGGCGATCAACACTTACAGAATAATAGTTCGGGACATATATGGAATATTGAATAGTTTGAGACACAAGTCATACTTTCTTGATAGTTCGCGTTTTCTAGTGGTATTAGCCCAAAAAACAAATCGTCAAAGAATTTTTCCTTTGGAATTGGGGGTGGCGATATGCGCTGTAAGATGGGGTTCAAAATCGTAATAGTAGCCTTTGATTTACGTTGACATACGAGTTAATTGGATTTCTTACATAAATATTGGATATTCAAAAAATACCCAAAATATCGCAATTCAAAACATATTTCACAATCTAATGTTGATTAATTCGAGATAAATGGTACATTTTTACACCTCTTGCCTTGTGTCGTTTGACTTGTTTAGCACCGTCCTTAGAGCCATTTTACACTAGGTTTGGTGATTTTTGGCATTTTTCAGACTTTAGCATGTAGAATGGGAGAGAGGATCGAAAGTCTGACAAAGGGATTCGGAAAATGAGCAAAAAGGAGAAGTGCAAAGATTATGGGCTGACAACAGTTGTCACGGGCCATAGACCGTGAAGTTGACGAGGAAACCGTGAAGATCACAAAGTTCCAGAAGCATGTTCATGCCTCAGGGGCATTGCACGGATGATGATCCGATACCATGAAATCAGTAGAGAGACCGTGAACTGTGTTAATGAAGCGGCGTTTTGCGCTGAGATCACGGTTTCATTACACACTTAACGGGCGGGATGTGCAACCGTAAAATGTGCACTCACATGCTATATAAAGGAGAGAGCATAATTTTAAGAGAGAGTTCTAGAGAGAGTTTGGAGTTCTTCTTCCACAACCTAGAGCGAGCTACTAGTAAAGGTGAATTTGACCTACACAAGCAATTTGAAGGCCATATTTCATCTCCAAGCATCAATCCAAGCAAATAGGAAGAAGGAGAATTAAGTTTCCATGGATTTCTCTTCTATTCTAGTTGTTGTTTCTTCCTAGCTATGGAGTAGTTCCTCTTTTCACTTGGATGTGAACCCTAGTATAGGATTTTGTAGACTGATGTTTGTGAACTCTTTGTGTTGATGGGTATTGTTGATTATATGTTGATTGAAGGTTTTTCAAGCAAATTAAATGTTCTTGAACAAATCCGTCAATTTTGGGGCAAATTGACCTAGGAAGGAGAAGATCCCTTATGACAATTAGGGTAACTCCTCAATCAATGTAGAGTGCAATAAATTACAAATATTGGTAAATCTTTCGCCATTTAGGGTTAATCTCCGAGAGAGTGGAATTGGTAGTTTTAGTCATCTTTTCGATAGTGTGATACGCTCCTCTGATTAGTCCGATTAAGCGGGTTAGGATGCACTCGAATAGGGAGTCCTAGCTATTTTAGATCTCTTAACGGTATATGAACTTGCATATCGTACTTGAGTATCACATTCTCATCTCGACACAAGGACTAGGGGATAATCAACCGAGTGAAGTTTTCTCACATGAATTAAACATCATTTTAAATGCTTGCTTGTTTAGTTAAATAGCCACTACGGGAAAAAGAGTCTCTTGCAACACTTGGATTGCAACACTATTTGAAAGTGTTGCGTTAATTATATATTAACAACACTTTATTTAGGGGTTGCATATTGAACCGTTTACACAACTCAAATTCATTATATGTTGCATTTGCTATATTTTACCCGTCACTTATACCATAAATGATTTATGGGTTGCCTATTTATGTAGTTTAAGCAACGGTTTAACAAACTGAGTTGCAAAAAATTCATTCAACTAAATACTCATGAATAATACGATTATTCTTTATGTATAATTATCTTGCTAATATAAAGAAACTAAATAAGATAAATCCAAATATTAAGTTAAGTAGAAGATCTGGCGAGATTACTTTCCCTTTTCTTAATTACCTAATATATACCTTTCCTTCTTAATGTAAAGCACTGAAGCCTGCCCCTTCCCATTCTTCTTATAATAATTAATATTACCCAAGCCCTAGCCATTTAATTTCCACAGCGGCAAAGGTAGAAACCCTCGCCGATTACGAAAGACATTTTTCTTTCGGTCGAAAATCCCAATCGGCATCCCTTCCTCTCCTCTTTTGTAGCCGCTAGTCAATCTCCGAGGAATACTCATCGGCCATGTCACATGATTCTCCGATAAGCTCATCGTCGTCAGCCTGCCTCTCTCCCGGTATCGTATTTGGAGTACGATAATTAGCAATTGGTTTCTCTCTTCTCAAGTTTCCGTACGTTTAGATTGATTCAATATATGCGTTTTTTGTTGTTGTTTCGATAGCCAGGAGGACTACTAGGTATGCACGTACAAAGAAGACTAAGAAAAAGACAACGAAGCCTAATAATGTTTTGGGATTAAATACTCAGTCACCAATAATAGTAATCAGTTATATGCTGTCTGGCGTATGTTGCTTTCGTGACAAAAATCTGGAAGCAAAATTATTCTATGGTGACAATCGTATAGTCACAGAAGTACATTATGAGTGACTATCCAAATTCATCACACATGAGGTTGCATACGTGACAATATAAATCATCATAAATTGTGACTTCTGTGACAACCATACCTCGCCAAAGAACGTAAAATGAATTTTAAAAAGTATATTTGTGACAGAACTATAGCCACATACAATTATTTGTGACAATTAAAAACATCATTGTTGTAGTTTTCGCGTCGGCGGTAACTTATCACAAAAAGAATTTCTACTAACGGCAAAATTGTGACACAAATCTTAGCATTTGTTACAAATAAAATTGTCACAATTGGATTAGTCATTTGTGACGATCTGGACTCGTCAGGAATGAAACTTAAAGGTTGCGAAAACTTGTAAAAAATGTTGTTGATGTTTCCAAAATGTGTTGCAAAAAGTTTGAAAAGTGTTGCCTAAAATGTGTTGCCTAAAGGTCATATATGCAACCCTTTTTATTTTGGTTGCCAAAAATGAAAAAATAGTTGTGTATACCTTTTGCAACCCCCACTATAAGCAACCCTAGTAAAAGTGTTGCGCTAAGATGTTGCAACTCTTTTAAGACTATACGTAACACTTTTTTGGAGTTGCAAGAGGCATTTTTTCCCGTAGTGAGCTATAAATATCGTTTTAAATGCTTGCTTGATGTAGATATTATTTATGACACTGTGAACCATTTGGTTCAAGCCCAACCAGATATACATGTCAAAACTCTGTAGGCGAATGCAAAGATAGGTATCAAATTCATATTCATTACAAAAAGACTTAAATTACACGTTTGGTCACTCAAATTACATAAATATTTCACGTTTGCCACCCGAAGACTCGGTTACAAATTGTTTCACTTTAGTCACCGGCTGTCAGTCTCTGTAAGACTCGGTTAACTTCGTTAGTTATTTGTTGACGTGGCAAACAGAACTGCTGACGGTACTGTTAATTTAGTGACATATCAATTTTTTAAAAAATAATTAATAACAAAATAATGTACAACACACCCAACAACTATACAATTATAGGTGGGAATGTGCTAGAGGTGGAGTTCGACTATAATGGCCGAGTAGGAAGATGTAGTTGTGAAAAGTTTCAAGGAACCAAAATTTCTTGAAAAGTTTGAAGGAATAAATTTTTTTTGGCTCTCATGGCAGCGTTGTTTGCACCGAAATGTCAGCCAACTCATATAGGTTTGTCAGCGACATCTACAAGATGGATACATTATATGCATGCTATTGAGCAAGTTTGTATCTCTAGGTTATCCTAGATGTTGGACGAAGCACGATGGCAATGTGCTACATGGTAACATATACATGGTTCGTGGTAAAGGAAGGCTTCAAACAAAAAGAATTCATAAAAAGATGGATTGGGTGCGTGAGAGTGGTAAGAGTGTGTAGCAAATGTAACCAACAAGGTCATAATGCCAAAACTTGTCGCGGAGGCCAATCAAGTAGTAGTAGGTGTTAGTTTGTATTCAAATATAATGTAATGATTTGACTAATGAAATGTTCTATTTGTTCCAAACATATCATCCAAGTTTATACCAAACACATCATCCAAGTACATAGGTAAATAAATAGTAAAAAGTTCTATAATAATTTTCCAAGTACATACCAAACATATGATCCAAGTAAATTGATAAATAAATAGTAAAAAATTCTTTAATACCTGTCCAAATATATACCAAACATATCAACCAAGTACATAGATAAATAAATTAACATCACATACATAACTATGTCATCCACTAACGTCGTCACGTCTCCGAAGCTACTAAGCATCCTCTGGTACCACACCTACGTTTGCGAAGCACTTGTGAAGGTCTCAACTGTCCACCTGGATAAGCAACAAGCTTGTCATAATCCTCCTCATCGTTATCCTGCATATATTAATGATGATCATGAAGCCTAAATGTTGAACTCTATGTAGTGTGTAAACGGTCCACATCATGTGAGTCCATCAAAGATCCTTCAACCGTTGGTGATGTCCTACGACTACTTGAAAAACTAGCTTCTGCTGGTGTATGAAATTGATAACATCTACTATGATGTCGAGAGGAAGTCTGCTCTACTTAAACTGACCTAGTGTAGGAACGAAGCATGTTGATGGCTCTAGGTCGGGCTTGGGAATGGAAAAGTGAGGAACATATGCATCCCTAGAAGGTTGATGAATCTCATAATGGTGCCAAAAAGGTGGTGGAGACGAACGCTCCGGCTAATGCATCTGCCAAAAGCAGTCAAAATCCCGATTTAAATCTTAAAATCCTACGGTTTTACGATTTTACTTACTTGTTCCGATTCTGATTTCACTATAAAATATATTGATCTTAAAATCCTACACTATTCACGATTTAAATCTTTACAATCTTTAAAATCTTACGATTCAAATCTTTGGGTCAATTTTACATTTTTTTCCCAGAATTTGCAAAATTACGCCTCTTTTCCTTCTCCTCCACCAACATCATCTAGTTCTCGCACACCATCGACCATCATTAATTCACATCCGCGTATTAATCATCATCGATTCACCACTTCCCAACATGATAAATCAGAACATTAACCTTGAGAAATTATCATTTTAGACCAGATTGTGGTGGAAACACCGGTTCATTCGGCTTAGGGAGGGCTATTATTCGACTTAGGGAGGGAGGTTATTCAGCTTAGGGAATCCTACGACGGGTATTCGGCTTAGTAGGGTATCCGAATTGTTATGTGTTGTTGTGTTATTCATGATTTTTCTTATTACTATTATTATGTCTTTATTTTTATATGGACCTTAAAATCCTAGGATGTTATGATTCCGATTTTATCTCCCTTTTTTATTTTACTTAAAATCCCGATTCTGACTGCTATGCCACCAACACCTAATTCACGCAATTTGATACTTATTTATGCAATTTGGTTCCTATTCATGAAAATGTGATGGTTTGCAAGGAAATGATAATGGTTATTCACATAATAGTGTGTTTATTTACCCATGTTATTTATTCCGCAATTGTAGTATTTTAAAAAATCAGTTTTAAATTTATAACATATCAAATTGAACTTCTTGCAACTAATTTAAAAAAAAAATCCAAATTTATGACCAATACAAATTTTAGAAGAAAATATTTTGGGTCTATTTAGTATTTGTTTTTTTTTATGAATAGTGTTTTTGTCTCTAGAGAAGCCAATGAAAACTTTCCATCCCTTCGTTAAGTGTTCAGCCCAATTCACACCGAAAAACAAAACTTGAGCCTAAAACAGAGTATTAGCCCAAGAGAAAGAGGAAGTAAACGTACTTTGTCACTCGATACAAATTTAGGAGTCGGACGCCCCAACGGAATGCTTACAGGCTAAGCAAAGAGTTATCGCACGATCCCTTCTTCCTTCAGTTTTTAAACAATGGGGAAAAGGAATGGAATGTGAACGAAGCGATCGCCGGCTAGAAAGGAGAGGAAAAGAATAACGAACGGGAACAGAAGATGGGAGTGCTCTCCAACAAAGTGCAGAGAGAAGATCTTAAGCCAGGCGATCACATTTACTCCTGGAGGCACGGCTACGTCTACTCCCATCATGGTATCTCTCTCACTTTCTCTCCCGTTTTCTTTCCGGTTTTGGGTTGCGGAGAAAAAATATTTTTATCGATGATCCCGCTAATGGGTTTTACTTGTTCTTTGAGATTCTGCCATGTTTGTGTTCAGAGTTCCTTGAGTGTATTTACAGTTAACAAGGGTCCGTCATGGTTACTGGGTTACTGGCTAGGTTGCATCAGAGACCCTCTGACCACTGTGATACATCTAGAATCATGTCTTTGGATGATCTCTAATTTCATCAATATATATTGAGTAGGAATCTACTGAGCTGATAAGTTCATACTAAGTTCGTTGTTGGTTTTGATTTAGATTTCCCTTTCAGTTTCGCTTTGTTGGCTTATTTACTGATGTCATTGCTCACGTATTTAGGGGCTTTCTTATCTCTTGTTGTTTCCTCTTTTCTGGATTTGTCTTGTGTAGTTAGTTTCCCCTTGCATACACTTCTTACTCAAACATGAATATTTTGTGTTTGATAATGTGCTTGAGTTGCTCAATAGACTTTCAAGGATATTAGTTTTTCATTAGGTCTTGATTCTTGGAATCATCTTGCATAGGGGTGGGACAAACTGGTGTCAGGATTTCTTAGATTGAATTGGAAGATTGTCCAAAAAATACCGATTCTCTGTTAAGCCTGAGTACCTTTCTAGCAAGCTACCAGCACTTTGAACTTGAAAGTCCTTGTGGTTGAAACACATATTTTTATGGTCTCAGAGGTTTCATCATAAACTGCCTGTTGTTGATGGCATAGTTGTGGATTGCAAGAGAAAAGCTACCAAGTCTCTTTTGGAGAGAAAGAAACCGAGTACTCATCTGAAGAGCGTATTTTGGCTGTCATTTTTCCCCTCAAAAGAGAATTCAGTTCTTTGCTATTCACTGTATAATGTTGGACTCACTGCTGAAATTCTGTTATTAGGAGTGTTAGTGATTTGGAGTTGAAGATTTCTTGGGGTTCATTAGAGTTTAAGTTTTGAGGACTTCGCGTTCTCATCTAAGTGGTATAGTATAGATGAGAAGCTAGATGCTGTAAATCGAATAAGAGATCAGAACTTTCGCTTTCTGTATAGCACTTAGCAAATGGACTTCCTTTAGTATTGAGTTTAAGTCTCGGGAAGTTGATACACATTGGAGTATCAAACTGAGACAGTTTAGAAGTTGATAGGAAACTCTTGCCAGTGATTTGAAGAATTCCTCTTTTAGGCTAGTAATAGTTAAATAGTAACACAAGCCCAATTCCTGTTGGTTCTTCTGAGAGGATATGCTTTGAGAAAGTTTAGGAAAATAGCAGCCGCTTGAGACTATACTCTTCTTTTGAATTGCGAGTACAATCTGATCGATTCTGACTTCCCAGTTACCGTGATTTAATTAATTTGCAATTTCCCATCTCTGATTAAGCATCTGCGAGATTCTCATCAGCCGATAGCAGATTATGAATGAAATCTTTGAGTTATCTGAAGGTTTTTATAACTTCAGAACTTCAGATTTGTTTCCAACTCCTCGCTGATTAGTTGACGCTAGTTTGTGCCTCTTCCTGTTGATGAAATAGCCAACTTATCGATCACATATGCACACTCGGACTATCCAACTTGTAACATCTACCTTCAACCTTGATTTTTAACTGAAGAGGACCATAGATTTGCAGCTTTTTTATGCTTCCAAAAGATTGTACCCTGTCCTTACCATAAATCTCCAAAGACATTTGAAGTCATTTCAGTCGTTTTCACCCATGTGTTTTTAGTAGTTTCATCTAACCCATACAAATTTAAAAGGTTTGGTGTCATCCAATCATTTCACAGTCATATGATTGTTTCAATAATGTTTTCGAAACGCACCTTCACTTCTACTATTGGCTACCAACCAATCAACCAAAATTGTACTCTGGACCTTGCTTATGTATCTTCTTCACTCCTCTGTGTCTTCGCTAATTCTACTTGCTGGGTTTGGCTTTTCCGTTGCTGCACATGCATTTTCTCCTCATTATTTGTCATTCATGACAAGGGAGTCCGATGTTATGTGAGGGTCATAAGCATAAAGTTTGGACTTTGTACAAACGGTCTCAAAACTTTCATTTTGCACTAATCAGCAACACAAGTTTGAACTCGTGTCGAAATGGTCATTACCACCCAAAAACTTAATAGACTGCTGATGTGGCTACTAACTGAATGCTTGATTGTGCACAGGTATATATGTTGGAGATGGAAACGTAATCCAGTTCACTCGTGGAGCAGGCCAGGAAATCGGCACTGGATTATTCATAGACAACATAATTTTCTCATCTCTATCTCGTTCTTCTGATAGCCCGTGCCCAAACTGTGGCGACCAATCTAGCCTGGATGGTGTCATTAGATCCTGCCTCGACTGTTTTCTCTGGGGCGGTGAGCTCTATCTTTTCGAATATGGAGTCTCACCAACTTTCTTCTTAGCCAAGGCTAGAGGTGGGACGTGCACTCTCGCTGCCGCTGACCCTCCTGAAGATGTCCTCCACCGGGCATCCTTCCTTCTCGAGAATGGGTTTGGCGGGTACTGCCTTTTCAGGAACAACTGCGAAGATTTTGCAATCTACTGTAAGACTGGACTGATTGTGTTCACCAGCATCAGTGTTGGGAGGAGTGGACAGGCAGCGTCTTTCATTGCCGCTGCGAGTAGTGTACTTTCATCGCCACTTCGGTTCTTGACTACCAGCTTCAGTGGTCTAGCGGTTGTCGGTTTGTGTATGTACAGCATTAGCAGGTTGGTGTCAGACATTGGGGTGCGACGCGATGTGAAAAAGATCCCCGTCGAGAGGCTTGTTGCTGCGGACTGCAGTTCAGAGTCTTCAGTTGAGCCGCCAGAAGCCGTTCCACCGCTGCCTGCCAAAGAAAAGGAGACATGAAGATGATAAAAACACAGACATTTGATAAGGTCTGTCATGTTTGAGCTGGAGGTTGTGACTTTTATTTTATGATCATTATGTGTGTCGCGAATTGTTAAACCCTTTTGTTAAGCAACCAGGCCAACACTCTGCAGTCTGCACCCGGCTGGTTTGCTTCCTTGCCTTTAGTTATTGTTTTGCTTGTGTGAAGTTGGACAATATCGAGTTCGTTTCGCCGGCTGATGAGGGATGAGTGGCAGCGTTGTCTGAAATCTGTAACTTTATTAATATTTTTGTTCATTCAACCTCTTCAACCTTTAGCAAACCCGACGAAATCTTGCTGTTATTCCCCACTGAAACGTGTTGAGCTTGCTAATAAGTAGAACCCAATGAAGCAGATTACTACATCCTTTTAATTGTATCCAATCAGCCAGTTGGATAAGTTGGAGTGCAATGTTCGTAATGAGAGACTCAAGGGACCTTGTGTTCTATCCATGCAACATGACACTTTTTAAGTTTCAAGAATACCCAACAGTTATCACAGAAACGGATAAACGTATATGCTGCATGAAATACCCTGATACACGTTAAAGAGATTTGACAATATAACAAAGTGCATCTGATCTTCTGCCTATCACTAGCAATCACCAGGTTAAACAAAAATGATACCGTTCTCTTTAATGGCGTCGATAACAATCCCCAGCTTGCCCTCAATCCTCTCGTTCTTTCTCGGTTCATATGACATTACATATACATCGGCTTCTTTTGATCTCTCTGCTATGAGCTCGCCAATAAGTCTACAGGCATGGTGATCTGTGAGGGAGGGCAAACTGTTCCTAAGGTCCTTGGAGTTGGTGGTGGCAACAGATATTACTTTGCTTGTCCCCCGGTGCATCACTTTGGCGTGGACAAATCTCTTTGAAAAGAACACGTTCAGCAAGAAGGGCCTCATGTACATGTCAGTCCTCTGTTTCCATGACTTCTTGTTCGGTTGCTTTGCCAGCTCACCACGAGATCTCCTCGTCCACGCAGCTCGAATGAAAGGACTGCATGAATTCTACAAAAGACATGATTCGTCAACAGTTCTCTCTTTAGCAAGCAGGTAGCCAACAGATGACAGAAGGTGAATGAAACATAGTCAACAACAGGCAACAGCAATGGTCAAGAGGAAGGGGTAACCTCATCATAATCACAGAACTACTTTTACCCCGAGATGCTTAATTTTGAACATCCTAATACATATGAATCGAAATAGACATTAGGAACGTCACACCTGCTTAACAGATTTGAATTGTACCGCAAGAAACGTTATGGTCCTAAATTCCCCATAAACTGGGAAGCAACATCAAAAAGTTGAGAAACTAGTCACGTAATGGGGACACAACCTAATCTTGCTTATAGCATTTCTTGATCAAGTGGAGGGTACACTTAACATACAGTGCTGCTTACATGATCTCTTGTTCATTAGAGTTGGTCCAACAAAAGGTCCCCAGATACTCCAAACCCAACTAAGCCGACGGGCAGCCTAGAGGACGTGCAAACAGGAATACCGACTTCTTACGTATAACGATCTTCCTCATATAGGGCAATTCTTGCAAGAGAGGAACAGCTGAGAGACAGCTTCAAGCTGCTAATCGATTAGAATGATTTTAACCCCATCTAAAGCTCATTCACAAAGTGGGAATCTAGAACTGCACTTGAGCGTCAGCAAGATTATTTCAAGCATCAAGTCCTCTGGAGGAATTCATCAATGATCATCATCAGATATTCTATCATTAACAGCACCTTAACCTGAATCTAGAAATGGAGGAACAAGTTGTTGAACAGGGCTAAAAAATGAAGATAGGGCTCGTTGCATACATCCATGGTTCAACATCCACGACAGCTAACCCCAGTGAGATAAATTGAATACATAGGATGCCACCCGAGTCTAAATTACCAAATCGGCTGCGGATTTTGCCAATTATGTTCAACAATCTGAAAGATTAGCCGGTGCAAGTGTCTCCCAAAACCATTAATTTGCAGAAGCCCAAGTTCGAATTTAAACTAGAAAAAAACAGAGAACAACCAACTTCCTCGGAATCTTATTTTCACTCTTCTTATCTATACCAGGAGAAGAAATTGTGTACCTTGTTATTGGAGGAAGGCGAAGGGTGTACCAGTGAGTCGCTAGTGACGGACAATTTCAGGGTGGGCAAAGCAGAAAACCAGGAGAGGGAAATGGGTTTGAGCCGGCCAGCTGAGGTATGCGGCGACAAGTCAGCAGACATCACCGGCGAGGCTGCCGGTGGAAAGGCACAGGCAGATATTACCCACGACATCCAGTCTCTGTTGAGTAGATACTAGACAGAGACGCCGCCGCTGTGTGTTTTCAAGAGTTTAAGGGGGATTTGGCCGGTGACTGCTGTTCGCTTGAATTGTTTTTTAGGATTGGTTTAATTCACGTACATAGTCATCATTTTTAAGATTTTGACAAATATAGTCACTTTAGATATAGCCATTCCGTCCAAAAGTTTAACGGCACTATCACGACTGTTGACTGGACAAATGATTGTTGGTGACGTGGTGATTACTCATTGACGTGGCAATGCCAGGTGGAATATATTTTTAATTTCATTAATTAAAAAAAAACTTCTTTACCCTTTCACCTACCTACCTACCCTCCTATCCTCTCCTCTCCTTCCGTCAAACCTCACTAGGGCTATTAATGAGCCAAGCCGCTCTTGAACGACTCGGTGTCCGATTCGAGAAAAACTCGTTCGACACTCGATTCACCGTAATCGAGCCGGCTCGCAAACAAGCTCGTTTATTAAAAGAGCTGAACTCGAGCCACACCATGTTCACCTCAAAAGCTCGCGAACATGCTCATTTAATTGTTTGACATGAAAATGGCTTAGAATTCATGGATTTTATGTATTGAAATTGGGATAAATATTGTGTTTTAATTTGATAGACTTTGCTACAGGTTTGAATGTAATTTTGTGCTCAGTTCTAGGTCAATATTGAGCTATCATGAACATTTTACGAACTGAAATCGATTTTGGGCTCGTTAAACTTATTTGACAAGCCGAGCTCGAGTCGAGCTCGAGCTTGCATATTAAAGCTCGTGACGAACACGAGCCGAGCTCGAGCCTGGAAATATATTAACGAGTCGAGCCCGAACTATGGCAAAACTCGACTCGATTCGGCTCATTAACAGCCCTAAACCTCACACCCATCCATCTTCTTCCCCTTCTTCTTTGTTGCCGCTTCTCCGCCATTAAAAGGGCACCCATCAAATAAAACTTCCCCACTTAATTCCCAAACCTTAAAATCCTCATATCCCTACTAATTTTGAAATCCCTAGCCCAAAAACTCAATCGGAAATCTGCACACTTCATTGACTGAAGCCTCTTTACTTCCTCCATGGACCCGGAAACGAAGGAGTGCGGCCGGCACCGCACGCCTTCTCGTCGGAGCCTCTTGGTGACGACGTACGGTCGCCAGACCACTTGTTGGAACAGTTGCCAGATCTTCCACACAGCAGCGACGGCGGCCAGAACCGTGGCAAATAGCCAAGCCGCCATTGTTGTTGTTGCTGATTAACGAAGGATTTTGATTGTATGGTCAGCAGGCAGCACTGGGATTTTTGTTTTTTGCCTCTTTTTGGTTGCATGCTTTTTGGAGCATGTGTGGTGAGCTTTCGGGTGTATTGGTGGAAGGATCTGGTTTTTGTTTTTACATATGTATGAGTGAATGTGTGACGGATGCACCGCTCCCGTCACGGCGGAATGAAGTAATTGATGGGGAAAGAGAGGGTTTTGAAGGGAGGAGTCACAGATCTGGATCTGGTGAAGAAGGTGGAACATGTATGAACCCTTTCCCTTGTTTCCTCCCGGAAGCGCCAACCTTGCTCTGTTTTGCTGGTCGGGTCATCCACTTTGCCGACGAGAAGTTTGAACTTCTTCCGCCGCTCAATCTTTGTTTCATTCTTCCAAACGCCTTTTGATTGCTTGCTTGCTTTAATTACTAGGATTGAGGGGGACTGATCGATTAGGGAAAGGAAGGACACCAAACGACTGAGAAGAAGAAGCCCACTGCCGTGACCCTCTGTTTTTTTCCCATCTGTTTCAAGGAAAGTCACTAGACTTGAATGGAAAGGCGGCTCTGCAAATTGGGGAAGACTGTTGTGAGGTGGGATGCTAGAAAATAAGTGAGGAAGGGAATGAAAACGACGACAATGAAGGAGAGAGAGAGAGTTAAATATTTTTAATATTAATTATTTTTATTATCTGATGTGGCGTCCACGTGGCTAAGTCCATCCGGTTGGCGATGATGTGTCATCCATTTGGCGGACAGATTAACAAAACGTACACTTAACTTACGGAGACGTTAACTCCGTCAAATGTTTTTTAGGGAAATGACTACATTAGTCATATTTGTCAAAACCGTGAAAGTTATGGCTATGCGGGTGAATTAAACCTAGGGGATTTATGAAAAAGTTAAGAAATTTGATTTTTCCTGAGAGTTAACCCTAAATGGAACAACATAGATAAGAAGACAAAATACAATGTCTAGTAAGACTATTACTAGAAAAATCAAATAAGAAAAACACGATGATCGACAAGTGTTTGAATCATGGCTCTAAACACTTGTTTTGTTACGATATGAGCAACTCTATTATACATACGGGAAGCGAAAAGGAATGAGGCACGGAGAAAATGTTAATTGCATGGTTGGTCACTAAGATTACAAAAAACATTCAAATTTGGTCACTCGGAATATTTAAATTCGTTGGTGGTACTTCAGTTTACTGAAACCGTTCACGTTTGGTCACTCTCCGTCCAACTCCGTTAACTTTACTTACATGGCGGTCAACTCTAAAAGTTGATCGTTAAATGTGTGACATGACAATTTAAAATAATAAAATTAAAATTTTTTAAATTGTCATCTCATTTCCACCTCATTATCACTTTATTTAAAATAAATATAAATCCCTAATTTCATCTAAAAAAAGACCCCGCCGGGAGCACACGCCGGCCAGAAACTCATCGTCGTTGTCCTCGCCGTCCGATCTCTCCCGAAGGCGCCAACAACGTTGCTGTCGTCCCCTGCCCCTGCTCTGCCTCCGACGGCATCCCAGCCACCAAGCTCCGCCCCGCAGCGATCTGCCGGTTCTTCTCCTCCTTCGCCAACTTCGTCCCCTGCCACCGCGCCTTCACAATGTTGAAATCCTCCATACAACATCTTCAATTACTTGTCGGAGACAAGTTCATTAACTCTCCATCCTCATTTATCTTTGCCCATATCAATGTTATCTTCTGCAGACTACTACCCACATTCATCTTGGAGTTCCAAACGCGGGTCACTACCCACATGCTAGCTTTTAATTCCCACATGTTATTTCTTTATTCCTTTCCCTTGCAATCACGCATGTATATATACAAGCAGATAGGTCCTTTATGTAAATGAATAAATAAGAGTAAGAACTCAACAGAATTAAGAAATTCTCTTTCGTGAGTTTCTTCATCAATCCTTTGTGGATTTCCTTACACAAGGTACTGCACCCGGGAGTTCCCCCGCCGGCGCTCCAGCTGGTACCTCGAACTTGCCTGCCGGCCAGCCGGGTGGCTGCCGGGGTCGCCGGACAACACCGCTGACCAGACTTTGCCGCCGGAGTTATTGGCAGTGGCATATCCAGAAATTTTTTTATAGAGGTGTCCTTGTCCAAAAAATAAAATAAAAATAAATAATTCATAATCATAAAATATCTTACTAGTACAAATTTTAGTAAAAAGCCACGACGTGTTTTTCTTATTTTGAAAAAGAATATAAAATCAAGTCAGTGTCTATACTGCTCAACAAATATGTATATCCTACTAGACAATAATTCAAGAACTGATCGCATATCCGATTTCTAACCTTGTTCTTGATGTAACTCAAAGTTGAGATTAAAGACTCTTTCAACACTTGCAATGCAACCATAAAATCAATTCAAATTAAGAGTAGCCCGTAATTAGTTTAATTGTTAGATTTTTAAAATTGTCGGGGATAAAGAATAGCATTTTTACTATTACATAGTGTTCAAAATTGAACAACAAATGAGTTGCAAGCTAATAGAGAATATGTTTAATGATACTAATCTCCCAGGTATGAATAACACTGATTATCACTTATATTTAAATCATACGTAAACTAGTACTGAGAGTAGGATAATCGTTTTTTTCAAATTTTAGCAGTGTCTCGAATTCTCAATTGTATTATTTTTATTCATACGAAACTACTACCGAAAGTTGAATAATCGTTTTACCAAATTTTAGGGGTGTCCAAGCAACATATATCCGCCCCTGGGTATTGGGGATGAGCAATTCTACTATGCTATATAGCATTGGGGCTTTAATGTACAACTCAAAGTTGTACCATAACATTAAATGTATAGGTTTAGGTTGTACCATAAAACAATTTGTACCATTATGTTATGATACAACTTTACAACTTGAAGTTGTACCATCACATAAAGGTACAAGTTCAAGTTGTACCATAAAAGAAGTTCTACAAAAAGTATAAGTATAATCTGAAGTTGTACCATAACGTAAATGTACAATTTTAAGTTGTACCATAAAAGCAAAATCTATAGCACCAATACTATATAGCATTGTAAAATTTCTCATTGGGGATTAGAAGAAATTAGGGTTTTTTATTTTTTTTAAATAAAAATGATAATGAGATGGCAATTTTAAAAAATTTAATTTTATTATTTTTAAATTGCCACGTCACACATTTAACGGCCAACTTTTAGAGTTGACCGCCACGTAAGCAAAAGTTAACGGAGTTGGACGGAGAGTGACCAAACGTGAACGGTTTCAGTAAACTGAAGTACCACCAATGGATTTAAATATTTCGAGTGACCAAATTTGAACGTTTTTTGTAATCTCAGTGACCAACCATACAATTAATCCCACGAAGAAAGTAAACCCTCAGCACTTGGACCTCTTGCAGGATAGCTCCACCCACCACGTATGACGAGTCCCCCGCGTGATCATCCGGATAATCACCTACGCATCCCCACAACACAAAACATTAGTCAGACACCAACGTAAAAAATCACGAAGAGCGAAAGTTCTACCAGAAAAGGATCATAAATGTGAGAATAGAAACATCCCCATACAAAAATAGTTTGTCTGGCCACGTGGAATCAACAAAACCAACCCAAAAATGGACCCGGAGGGGGGGGGGGGGGGGGGGGGGGGGGGGGCAAGTAGGTGGAAGCGGAGCAGGAGAAATGCGACCATTGGCTGGAGGAGAGCGTTGATTGAATGAGCACTGAGAGTGGGCCAACTCCCATTCGGCTACCTAGGAATCATATTGACGACGCAAAACATGGGGCAAGTATTGGAGATTGTCATAAGTGATCGTGTATTTTGCTTTCCAAATGCGTACATAAACATAATCCAAGAAAGCTCAACTTTGCAAAGACCAACATAAAAAAAATCTACACCAGCCAATAGCCATATGACAATGGCGAATATGAACAAAAATGTGATTGTAGCCCAAAAATTCCAAAGAGCAACTGCAATACGACAAATTAAAAACAATGGACTAGTGTCTCAACCTCTCCCCTGCAAACAAGACAAGAAAAATCTTCCTGATCGTCATCAATCAACTTTTTATTACGAAGAACATCTCAGACTGTAGAAAGTTTTTAATAAGTCTCCATAGAAAAAATGTAAGCTTTGGCGGCACGGGAAGAGACCAAAGAAACTTCCAAGAGTGAGCATCAAAGGATGAGAGACATATATTTGATAACTGTCGAGCAAGATGACTATTCAACCTTATGTAGAAAAGGATGGAAATCGAAAACAAGACATTGCATAAATTGTTTAGGCTAAGGCAATATATATGATAACTGTCTCCTTGACCGCGAAAGACATATATTTGGAATTCCAACTTTGTATGCGACTGACTATACGATCTTCAATGAAACAGAAAGATTCCTGCTTGGACCACAATATCCTAGTGGGGAGGCCTAGATAGTGATCCTCAAGACCACTTACCGTCATCCCAAGTATAGAGATAATGGCATCCACTTCGGCTGTAGAAATATTAGCACTGAAAGTAATAGTGGATTTCTATAGGCTTACCTTTTGATCACTCACCGCTTGATGGGAATGCAGAATGTGAAGAAGATTTTGGCATTCTACAGTCGAAGGATGCAAGAAGAGGTAAGTATCATCTGCAAATAAAAGATGGGATATCACAGGACAACGACGAAGAACCCACAACCATGCAAAGAATCAGAATGTACCGGTTGGTTAATAACATATGAAAAACCTTCTGTGTACAGTGCAAATAAAAAAAGAGACAAAGGGCCAGCTTGACAGAGACCTCGTTCTGGACGAAAGTAACCATGAGGAGAACTATTCAAGTTCACAGATGAGGAGATATTGGTGACACACTCCCATTACCAATTAAGGAATTGCAAGTAAATGCCAAGTTTGGAAATGATGGAAAAGAAAAGACCATTCAACATGATCGTACGCCTTTTCCATATCCAATTTCAAGGCCATCCATTTATCACTACCGGAAGTTTTGACTTTCAGATATTGAAGAACTTTGTGGCCCAACAAGATATTATCAGTAATGCGCCGGCCCTTAAAAAGACAATTTTGGAAAGGACCAATGATTGAGGGAAGAACATCACAAAGTTTAGTAGTCAGAACTTTGGAAATAAATTGTATACTACCTGACATAAACCAATCAGCCGCATTTGGAGCATGGTATCAACACCGGAGGCAAGGATATCCACGTGTGGTTGAAATTAGGAAGGAGATGACTAGTGCGAAAAAACTCATGAACAACAGCAACTACATAATCGCCAACCAAGGGCCAATAATGTTGGAAGAAGATACTTGTGAAACTGTCGGAGCCGGGAGCTTGAAAGCTACCAATGCTAAAAGTCGCTACGCGAATATCTTTTCGGGAGATCGGAACCGTAAGAGGAGAATTCATTGAATGTAGAACAACCCCGAGAGTTGCATACCAGCCGCCAAGTTTGAACAAGGTAGAGCGTCATAATGGAAAAGAGAAACATAAAAATCGACAGCCACCTCACCCGTGGACGCAAAATCAGAAAATGAATTCCCTAAATCATCGCGAGGAACCAAAATCCTATGCTTCCTCTGAAGCTCCAAAGTCGTTAGATGGAAAAAATGAGTTATACTAACATAATTTTTTCTTCTAATAATGGTGATATATGTTTACTTTTTCTTTGTTTTTGTACTACTTAAGGGATTCGAACCTGTGACTTCCAGGTCCAAGTACTAGACTAGTGGTATTACCACTAGACCAAACCCTTGTTTGTACGAGAATTTAAATTTAGGTACCCATTTCGTGAAGCTGAAGTGAGAGGAAGAACATAAGAATACCCACATTCTGAGAATTTGGTAAGGGAAGTGTAGAGAAAACATTAATACTATATTAGTTTTAATTAATAAATATAAAGATTTGGGTTAGAGTACGAAATCTTATAGTTTTGTAGTACTGCAAAATCATAATGGATGACTAAGATTGAGAGATAAGTTATCTAAGACTAACTCTAACCCTACGAGTCATTTTTAACTTGCCAATCTTTAAAAAATGGTTTTGAGCTTCACAATCCGCATTGTTACTCCAACCCTACAAGAAGCTATATTCAGCTTCTCACCTCCTTTTTTAATTTATTTTAATAAACCATACTTATTTGGCCTCTAATTTTATGTTTCAATTTAATTTTTTTATTAGTCGTCATTAATTTTGAAAACAAATTTTTTTACTTTTAATTTTGAGACACAAAAATCGGAAAATTAGTCGTTAATTTGTCACCGTTAACTTTGGGACCATTCCAAATGTGATATTTTTTGTAGCCGTTACTTTATGACAATTTTTTTGTCATTTTGTGTAGCATATGGCTTTATAAATGACAGTACTTCATCTGTCATCAACTCATCTGAAACTTCTTCCCATTTCTAAAACAAGCACATTCATCATGATCATCTTAGATAGCTCATCGTGTGGTGGAGACGGAGAAATCGAAGAGTACGAAAGGTATCTGATAGAAATTCATTTTATTGCATTTTGATTATTTGGGATTATTGTCGGTTTACTGTTCTTTTGAATTATTGGGATAATTTATGGGTTAATTGTGGGGGGTAAACAATTCGGGGTAGCATTAGGGAATTAGTCAGTTATATAAATATTCTTGTAAGTGG